AGTATTGGTGGTACTCACGCAGATCGCATAGTAGCTGCTGATTTGCTCAGATCAGCTCTGCTAGACTTGGCTGCTACCAAGAAGAATTCCGGTGTAGTGACCATTGACAATTTACTCGGTGAAGACACTTCCCGTACGATTATTATGATGAAGACGGTTAATGAGGACAGCGTTATGAAAGCTCTGACTCAGCTGGTCGAGGAGCTCAACATCCCCAAACCCTCGATGTTTTATACTCCTACTAATCACTCTGCTGTGCATTTCGAGTCCTCTGGTGTTGGTTTTTGCACTGAGTGTTTGAAGAAAAAGGTAGCTATAATGGAGATTCCTTGTGGTAAGGAATACGGAGGTAAAGCTTATATGTGCGAAGAGTGTTATAGTAAACGTGATGATGCTGGCCCTGTTTTCAAGATCGAATACTAGACATTTGATTACTTTTTTATTGTCTTATCACTTTTATCTACTCCTTTCATCGTAGTAGTGAATTCACATGATTTGCAAAGGGTTGTGTTGTTATCGGTTCACACTGGATGGCTGTGTCTTCCACATGAGCGAAGCGATGCACCTATATTCTGTGAGTAACAGAACCGTGGCGATCGCGCCTACACATATTCCGTTGTATTTTTCTGATCTATTTACTTGACCCTTCCCTTTCTGCGCTACGACCAATGGATCGGCAGATGGCCATTCGCTGGCTGGTAGGACTAAACGATCCGTCTCGAATGTATGCTGACGATTCGTCCCCTTCCTCGCGGTGTTCCCAGTTATTTCCACTGCGCTAACTCTTCATTATCAAAGGTACTGGGCTAAAAACAGTTGCCGCATATGCCATATGCTACTTTCAGCAGAAATTGATTAATACATCGGGACTTTTGATACCAAAACAACAACAAAATCAGGTAGAGGAAATGCCTCATTGAAACCCATGAATGAACTCATACACACAAATCATCCACCAAAATGGCTGCTAGCTCTCAGCATGTCACTTCCAACAGGTGTTGAAGAACGATCCCGATCAGACGAGACGCTGATACCCTCCGAGTTCTCTTCATAATTCCAAGCTGTGAGTAACACCACCGGGCGACGCTCTTCTTTCTAAAGTGAAAGTATACTAACAACCGAACTTCTGTCGACTCACATCAGGGGAATAGTCACAATTTAGTGACGGCACTGGACGAAAAGGATCGCGCCATTCGCGGTACCTTCCAGAACTGGAGTTTCACTCGTGACATGAAATACATATTTCACAAAGCAGCTTTTCACTGAGCATCACGCCACTTCACGCAAGACGGTTGAACTCCACAGATACTAATCCTGTTAGATTCATTATTACACATGATATTCATAGTATGGCTATATCCTGTATTTATTATACGTCACATTATTGTTGCTATTTTCATGTTTCAATTTCAGTACTGGAGTTTCACCCGTTTAACGTGAAGTGGCGTAATACTCCATGCAAATTTAAGACATATACGTCTTCGCGACCGATAACACGATTGTTTTTCACCAAGTGAAATATGTTTTTCCACTAGTCTTTTCACAGTTGAAACTCCATTAATCTTTCAACAACATACCATTCGTATGGACTGAGTTGAGTTGAATGAATGAGGTCATCAGCTGCAGCAATTATGGTATCAGTCAGGAACTTTGGAGACAACCTAAAGAGACAGGCCCTCTAATTTGTATATATCAATATGATCAATAATATCCAGTGTTGGAGTGAATTTTCGCCTTCCTCACTGATTATACAAGTTCACATACAAATTTGGGTAGAAGTGTACAGAAACCAATTTCCCTCGAAATTTTCACAAACGATAGATTGTCCGGTGCAATTCGAAATCCTACTAGAATTGTATACATATTGTTATCATCTATGTATCGCTGCCAAGCAAGCAAATATCAAAAACAGTCTCGAATACGCTCGTTCAAACATTGCTAAATTTCCCCCAAAAAATACGTCAAGTTTTTTTTTCATTTCACTCGTGAATATTTAATCACTTTCGAGGAGCCACGACTGGACTAATAACAACAATCACATACACATGAAAACGTCTCATGCACTCCGAACCTACTCCGTAATTTCCATCATCTTCGCATTGTCACTAACTGTCGGCTGACCTAAGACCAAGATAAGGCACATCACACACTTTGTATTGACACACCTTCGTTCGGTTTCATGACGGCTCCTGTAGACTCGGAAGCCTGAAAACACCACCAAACGAATAAATCATCTGCGAAATTTATTCTCATCGAGGGCTTTATCTAAGGCACATGCGCACCTCCGGAACGCATCCCTCGACACTCGCAGTAGTGATGTATGTATGAATAATCTCGAGCTACTCTCTCCGTCCCAATTTGCATACTTATTATCAAATTTAATGGCAATATACTATCACCTTGCCAGAAGGAGTTTAGGAGTGGGAATTCTCACGAGTTGGCCAAGAAATGGCCGAGCAGCCGTCAAGCGATGATCCTCAGCCTGAGTCAGCTTCACGCTGCCGCACTTGACGCGCGAGATTGACGACCCTATCTTTCTCATGCCAAGGACTTTCACCGCCAAAGTTTCACTAACCCTAGTGTATTAATTTCCCAAATTTTTTTTGAAATATTTTCTTTTTTTTCAAAGAAAAAATACATCGGGACCATACTTCGACATACAAATAACAGCACTATGAATACAATAACATAGCAGTAAGATAATATGTATAGTGTGTTCGATTTTGATAGTTCGAAAGGGAACAAGTGTATATATTTTAGAATTCGCATAATTTCACGATCAAACACCCGCATATTGGGTAACTATGCGAGTCCTACAGTATTCTCCTGAGGGCCACACCTTCCCAGGTCCTCCACCGTCTGGTTAATGCATCAAAAGAATTGTATAAAATAACAATATGCAGCGAAAACTTTCTATCAGGCATTCCTCACCCTATATGTGCTCTTCTCCTGTAGTAAATCCAATAACCACCGCCGACACAGAGCCGATCGATGGCTACCATCACTAGCCTCAAGGCGACATACAAAGCCACGACTAGATTCGGTCGCAGTTTTCGGATACTCTAACAAGAAAAATAACGTGCATCGACTAATGATGTTACTTGTACACTATACGCCTTTTTTATTGCGCCCGATTAACTAACCCGTTAGTAGAAAAGTACAACTACAGTGTAAAACGTTCATTATCATCAGTTTCCAACACATGGCGTGTAAGAATTCAAGTCTAGCAACATCTCCGGTGGCATCCACCTACCTTTCGGTGCTCCTCGAGTATTCGAAGAACGTTCATATTCGTATGGAGTAACACTCAGATTTTGGAAGATCATCCCACATTGCGATGCCTGGGAACAAGTGCTTCGCTTTGAATGACGATTCTGACTACAGCTATAACAATGGAGTTTCACCCGTAATATGGGAAACCCCAAAATTCCCAGTTCACTCGAGGAGTGAATAACGCGTAAAACACGTGATGTGTGTTTTTCGCGTGATATGGGGTGATTCGCAAAGTGTTTTCGATTCGCCACTTCATATCGCGTTTTTCACATGGAGTATTACACCACTTCACGTAGTAAAACGGGGGAACTCCAATCTGCATTATACTCGAAATCACAAGTGCAGGTTAATAATTTATAATGTGCAAACAGTTGAATTGATCATAGACATTGGAGTTTCACCAATTTCACGTCAAGTGGCGTAATACTCTGTGAAAACCGCGATATTAACGATTCGTAAAATATATTTTTCACTAGTGTTTTTCATATCACGGCTCACGAAACTCCATTATATCCATAATACCCTAAAAATTCAATTCATACATTTTAAACATTGGAGTTTCACCCGTGACGTGAAAAACGTATTCCACGACTACTGCATATCACCGCTAATATCGCGTTTTTCACCGAGTATTACACCACTCCACGTAAAACGAGTAGTTGTGAAACTCCAATAATAAAATAATGATCGATCGATTCTCACCTTAGACTGCAGATCATGTACCAAATCGCCGTTTCTCTTCCTCCTATTCCCTCTACCCCTCGTCCTAACTCGTCTTTTATTCCTTCTGGACGCTCTACTGCTACTGGACACTGCTGTAGGCTCTATCGACTGTTTTTTCGTCATGCCATTTTCAGTGCTGCTTTTTTCACAAGTTGTATTAATTTCTCGATCGTGCAAGTCCCCCACAGGTTCGGTAATATAATCTCTGTCGCCGAAAATTGCCAGTAACTAAAGTTAACTTAGTTTCACCCGTGATGTGAAAAACACTAGTGAAAAAAACATATTCCGCGACTACTGCATATCACCGAGAATAATATCGGGCTTTTTGCAGAGTAATACGTCACTTCGCGTAAAACGGGTTGTGAATTTCTAGCGTAGTAACAAAGCAAAACTACGATCTATGAGAACTGCAGAGAATAAGTGGTCAATCTGAAAAACTGTTAACCGCATTAGAAAAATTACTGTCAAGGAGAAAATTTCAAAATTTCACTACAAAAAATATTTGAATGCGATATCGAGGAAATTATTTCCGCAAAAAAACCATTACAATGGAGTTTCACCCTAGTGATATGAAAAAACACTAGTGAAAAAATATCTCACGACTACTACATAGGGCGAGTATCGCGTTTTCACGGAGTTTTACGCCACTTCACGTGAAAAAGGTTGTGAAACTCCATTAAATTTCGGAAAATTATGGTATTAAAATAAATAAATTAATTCACATTTCAACTCACCGAACCAACTAGCATTAACGCAGCCTCCCGAACTTTCCCATGACTCGATTCGGTACTCCGGCAAATGGCATCAGCTAAACCAGGCAATCGCGTAAACTCCGTTATCTAACACATTGAAGAGTTTTACACGTTTTACGTAGAGTGGTGTAATACTCCATTTGAAAAACGCGATATGAAGTGGCGAATTGAAAACACTGAAAAACCATACCACGTGTTTTACGCGTAATTCATTTTCGAAACGAAATGTGAAAAGGATATCGCGGATGAAACTCCAATACCTCACTGCCTTGCAAATAGCATCAAATACAAATCGATTACTTGGGCGCGCGCTTTTTGCAACAGCCCCGGCCGCAGCCTTACCAGTCTGTTTTCGATCATCTCACTGAGTTCCACTTCCATCGGTGGTGAAAACAACGATGCTAATGCTAAGAGGGCTGCCCATCTTAGCCGTACACAAGATGGTGAAATCAAACATCGATACTGAGCAGAAAGAAAGTTATATATTAAATTTCCTTTTGGGAAAAATATGAAAATTCTGAAGGAAATTTTTACACTTCTACCCGAATTCATATGTAAACTCTTCTGAGCTCAACTGACGAGGAAAGCGAACATATATTCCTACTACTCCAACACTGCCGAACTCAGAAGTTTCCACACTATACAGTGAAAAATCTATAATTTACCACAATTTTCTCATCGTTCAACCATGTAGTTGACCATGTGCATATCTTCTCAAATTCTGTTAAGCAACTAGCAAACTCTGACATCCAGTTTTGGAGGAATATATATTCGCTCTTCTCAGCTGAGCTCAGGAGTTTCCTCACTAATTTTCAAAAACCAGCTACAATTTCCATATTCTCACCAACACATGTAGTTGACCATGTGCATATTTCTCCCAACTCTTTATAAACTAATGCTGAAGCTCAGTTTTGGAGGAATGTATATTCACTCTTCTCAGCTGAGCTCAAAAAAACGAAAGTTTCCTAGAATTTCCCAATATTTCCTCACAAATTTTCATAATGTCATCAACTATGCAGCTAACAATGGAGTTTCACCCGTTTTACGTGAAGTGGCGTAAAACTCGGTGATATTCGCGGTGATATGGAGTAGTCGTGAAATATATTTTTCACTAGTGTTTTTAATATCACTAGGGTCAAGAAACTCTCACGTGCATATTTTCGCCCACACTGGCACAAGTCCATTTGAGATGTTAAGAAAACTAGCTTCCAAAATATCAGTGACGAACATATTCTCGCTTTTCTCAGCTGAGCTCAGGAAAAATTCACCAAATTTTTCAGAAGTTTCCCAAAATTTTTTGCACCATATACATATTTTTCCCCACTTTTCTCACCAATTTATCCACTGCTCGCGTGTCAGTATAACCGCTAATTTTCGCTTGTAGAACTGACTGGTATAATATACCCATCGTAATGCAACCAAGCGCCCTGTATTCCTAACAAAAAAATTTTTTTCCAAAAAATTCCAAATATTTCAATACTCACCGAATCTATCGTTTCAGAAGAGGCCAATCGAAGAATATATTTATACTCAGAATTTGACAAAAATTTTGCAGTGCGTTTTGATACCGGTTGATTCTCAACTCGTTCATATGCTTCCAATGCGGCAACTTTACTCCACAAAAAAAGGACCAACCCTGATACCTGCAAGAAAAAATAAAACGTCGACTATTATCACATTAGAGTTTCACCCGTTCAACGTGAAGTGGCGTTTTAATACTTCATGTAAATTCAAGACGTGTTTTTTCGTGAAGTGAATCGTGAAATATGTTTTTCATATCACGGGTAAAACTAGAATCATCATCATAGCTCACCTCAGCTGAAGAACTCTTTGGTAGGAGTTTCTGAAGGTACGGTAGTAATCCTGCTTTGAGACATAATCGAATTTCAGATCTGAATTGCAGTGATGGTATATTGTAGGGAAAATCCAATAACAACAACATATACAACAACAACAACAACAACAACAACAACATCAACATATACAACAACAACATCAACAACAATAACAACATCAACAACAACAACAACATCAACAACAACAACAACAACAACAACAACATATACAACAACAACAACAACAACAACAACAACATATACAACAACAACAACAACATATACAACAACAACAACAACAACAACAACAACAACAACAACAACAACAACGACAACATTCTTACTTTCCCAAATCACAATATATGGCTAGTAATCGTAAACCAGCAATTCTATTCACTGAATGTGATAACACCTGTGATAAAACAGCGATCATCCTACAATGAAAACTTTTACGCTACTTCATGTAAAACAAATGAAACTCCAATAAATGAGATACTTCCAAAATCTATGGTGAAGAAAGAAGCTCAAGACTTGACGAAGTTGATAGGAAATTTATCGGGCAAAAATTGCGCGTTTTACATACTGTAATTTTCCCGTGGGGAACACATCCGATGTAACTACGCCGTGTTGTCGGCGTTTTAACTTAACTCACACATATTCACTTTTATTTTAAGCCTCTCAAATATGCTCTGATGTGAAGCATGCTAATATCGACACTAATACAATAGATTTTCACAACTACCCGTTTTACGAGAAGTGGCGTCGTAAAACTCGGTGAAAAACGCGATATTCAACGCGGTGATAGTGTGGTGAAATATATTTTTCACTAGTGTTCTTCATATCACTAGGGTGAAGAAACTCCAGTGTTGAAGGAATATATGTTCGCCTCATACGAGATTACAACGAATTGTGGTAGAAGTGTAGAGAAATCAACAAGAATTTTTATATTGTCATCACCAACACATGTACTTGACTATGTGGATATTTTCTCCCACACTGCTCAGTGAACTCCTTCTGAGCTTCAATGTTGTTGGAGTAGTAGGAATATATGTTCGCTTTCCTCATCAGCTGAGCTCGAAAGTTTAAATACGAATTCGAGTAGAAGTGGTACAAAAGCCAACAAAAATTTCCGAAAAAATCCCATTTTGTCACCAACACTTGCATTTTTCCCCACACTGGAAGATTGTATTACACCACCAACAATAACACTAATAACACTACCATTTTTAAACATGATAATTCCGAGACCATTGAAATTGCAAATGCGTATTCCACACGTAAACATGATTTATTACACTCCCTGAAACAAATTTCCCGAAAATTTCGACTCACCTGTAGTAAAATCGGAAGTTCTCGCGGAATTCTGCAGTTTTCCGTATCGATTCCCTCCACTAACAACAACAATGCACAAACTAATCTCAACTATGCGGAAATCAGTACTCAATGGAGTTTCACAACTACCCGTTTTACGTCAAGTGGCGTCGCAAAACTCCGTGAAAAACGCGATATTCGCGGTGATATGCAGTAGTCGTGAAATGTTTTATCACTAGTGTTCTTATATCACGTCTGAAACTCCAATATTGGAGTAGGAATATATGTAATCGCTTTCCTCATTAGCTGAGCTCAGAAGAGTTTATATACGAACTCGGGTAGAAGTGTATTACAAAAACCAACAATAATTTTAATATTGTCATCACCAACACATGTAGTTGACCATGCGCATTCTTTCCTCCTATACTTTCCACCAAACTAATTTCGGAACTCAGATTCTCAGTGTTGGAGGAATATATCTTCGCTTTACTCATTCCTCAATTTCGTGTACAAAAACCAATAAGAATTTTCATATCGTCATCACCAACACATGTAGTTGACCATGTGCGTATTCCCACCTGAATTGTGTTTTCTCCGCAACCAAACACTAAACGCTCTCAGCTGGTCTCTAAAGAACTCTCTCACAGGATCAGTTCCCCGTATCTGCCGATAATTCGTCGAATCAACAACGGATTCGAAAAAATCTCGCGCGCCCCACCTGTGAAGTCAGCAGGCTATTTCGCTCGCCTTGCACTACACGCAGTACTGAGGCTTCCATCACGAGTTCCCACGTTTCCCATAAGGAGTGATGACTACAGTCGGGCAACTCGGGCATTGATACGCTCGTTAGACCGACCAGAGCTGAGGACAAAATGGCATTCGTCTGGCGTTTGGAAAATTCCACTTTTTTTGCGAACCAGAGTTTCACCCGTGATATGAAAAACAAATTTCACATTTTACTTACTCGCGAAAAACGCATGTGAGCAATGAGTAACACGCGGTATGTGTTTTTCATGTGATACGGGGTGATTCGTAAAGTGTTTTCAATTCGCCACTTCATATCGCGTTTAACACATGGAGTATTACACCGCTTCACGTAAAACGTGTGAAATATGAGATATTTTTTTCACTAAAGTTTCTCACATCACCGTGGAAATTTTATTGTGTATAAAAAAATGCGCGCGTTCTCTCTGCGTTATTTCGTTCAACGATTTCCCTACAACTACACCAGTTGAGCTCTCCAAACACATACCATTCGGAAGAGTGCAGTTCATGCATTCTGCGAAAAAGTACGAAATTGCTTTTGAGGAAACTCTGTATTGAAAATTTATGATATTTTCACGATTTTTTTGCGATATATTGGAGTTTCTTGACCCTAGTGATATGAAAAACACTAGTAAAAAATCTATTTCACGACTATTGCATATCACCGCGAACATTGCGTTTTTCACTAACATACCATTTCATGCAAAATGGGTTGTGAAACTCCATTATATATTTTTTTCTATATCCTGTATTTTTTTAGCAAACATTGCTCGAAGAATGCCCGTCCCGGGGATCGAACCAACGATCAATACAAAAAATACAATTTCCATTTCTCCATATCAAAAGCCCTCTAAGACGAATACTCACAAATAAGTCTTTGAGCTAACAAATAGTTGCGAAACAGTGAAGCCAGAACGACATCTTTTCGAAATAAAATCTCATATGTATCTGAAAAAAATACAAAAATATACCCGAAAAATTTTCAAATTTTCGCAAACCACCAGCAGGAAGGGAGCTCCACGCTATGGAGTTCATAATACTGGTAAATACAGAATTCAGCTGTCTGAATTCACTCGAATTCTCCACTTCATTTCCATCTAAAATAACATCTGTTACCACAACAGAGCACTTCAGCACGAACCCTCTCCGATGGTGAACTCCCCAAGTTTGCTGAGAATAGCCTCCAATTTGACACTGTCATTATCTTGGTCGAAGCCTAGCAGACACTTCGAGAGAGGACCGTAGAATCCCGAGCCTACGAAAGATGAGAAATATAATGGAGTTCCTTCACTCTAGTGATATGAAAAACAGTAGTGAAAAATATATTTCACGACTACTGCATATCACCGCGAATATCACCGAGTTTTACGCCACTTCGCGTAAAACGGGCTGTGGAACGCTAGTAATATATGGAGTATTTAAATATCTAAAGAACGGAGTACTACTAGACAAACCTACTAAAAAAAGATAACATCCCATTGTCAAAGTACGATATAATAGTATAGATGCACATTTATACTCATTGGAGTTTCACAACTACCCGTTTTACGTGAAGTGGCGTAAAACTCGGTGGAGAACGCGATATTCGCGCTATGCAGTAGTCGCGAAATATGTTTTTCACTAGTGTTTTTCATATCACTAGGGTGAAACTCCATTATATTTGTTTTCTTATCTGCCACATAATGAAATAATGACCCCTACATAAGAATTGTAATGCTGTTTTCAATGGCGCCGTCAAACACGCTGTGAGTATTTGGGACGGGAGCTTCGACCCTGACAACAAACAACTACGGAGTAGGAATATATCTTCGCCTTCCTCATCAGCTAAGCTCAGGAATTTACATATGAATTCGGGTAGAAGTGTAATACAGAATTTTCATATTGTCATCACCAACACATGTAGTTGACTATGTGCATGTTTCAGGGAATTCATTTCGAAATTCAAAAATCTCAGTGTTGGAGGAATATATATTCGCTTTCATAAAAGTTTACATAGAAATTTGGGTAGATTTTTACCAAAAAAACCATGAGAATTTTTCCCAACACATGTAGTTGACCATAACTGCATAAAACAACCCTATACCGTAACTGTTACCGAGATGGGGATTCGTTTCATCTCGACCACAACTAGCCAATATGAAAATTTCGCTTTTTTCCACGGCATTCGAGTAAAACAAGCCAACCTCATGAAACGCATCAATGTAAGAACCTGAAAAAATTTCAGTAAAATTTCGACCAATTTAATTTCGCTTACCAGCGCGATCACAGTCGAAAATGTAAACAGCCGGTTTGCCGAGCCAACCGATGAGTTTATGAATGTTTATTGGAGAGCATTCGTCCAGTGCCTGAAAAAAAATAGAAAATGATGAATAAGTATTCAAATTCGAGGCTGGAAAATATTAACGTGTGTCGGTGACAATGTGAAATCTCTGAGGAAACTCTTATTGGTTTTTGTATTACACTTCTACTCGAATTCATATGTTAACTCCTGAGCTCAGCTGATGAGGGAAACGAACATATATTCCTCCAACACTGCGTTCCGCTAGGGAACAAAAAAGGGTGTACACTGACGGGAACAAGACCATGAGAATTCAGCAAAAGAATTTATAGCAGAATTAGTAAACACGATATATGGATGACCAAAGCGAATGGTAGGAAAAATTGAGGTAATCGTTTTTTTCTTTTTTTCTTATAATATTTCCCATTTTTTCTGATTATTTCTCCCTTTTTGTCGAAAATAAGATTCTATTCTAATTACTAGAAACGGTATGGAGAAAAAATTACGTATATATTTCCTATTCGGGAGAATGCAAGAGTCTCAACGGAAAATTGCGAAGCCCGTGGAAAATTTATTTTGAGCAACATTAATATCAAATCCTAAAAATTTCGCTGCAAGTCAACGAGATGATATACTTCTCATCGGGAACTCAATACATTGAGAACGATTCGTATTTATACTCGGAGAAAATAAACTAAAACACTTCATATTGGCAGTGTTGGCGGGACATTACAATTCGCTTTGCTCAACCAAGTCTAGGAGTTTCTATACTGATTATATGCATTCACATGAAAAATTCGCGTAGAATCGATAAGAATTTCCTCACAATTTTCATATTGTCATCAACCCACATAGTTGACAATGTCTATATTGCAGTCATAACTCAGATAATAGAAAACCACAAATAGAACTCACTTGATTATACATTGGCAAGGAATGACCGTGAACCATACCAGAGGACGAAGGATCTGAAAACAAGTAAGGTCTGCTGTTATCAACTAATGTCACAATCATCATCTGATCGTCCCTTCGCCCGAGGACTATCAAAGTGCCTCCCAGACTAGGAGGCATTTCCAGGTCAATTTAACATTTCCCCAGAATTTTTAATAATTTAACCACTTTTTTTGAAAAAAGTGAAATTACCTTTTTTCAATCTTTTACCGACTGATTTTAACTTATTACCCAAAACTTTAATATAATAGCTAGTCTTTTTAAAAACAGTGATATGAAAAACACTAGTGAGAAACATATTCTTTCATCTCGCGAAAAGCGTACGTGAGCGATTAATAAGCCGTAAAACACGTGATATGTTTTTTAAACGTGAAAATATTGCGCGTATCACGCGTTATAAGAGTTCACATTGTGCAATACTGAATCCGTAAACATTTATATACGTTCGATACGAGTTCATATGCCAGTATAATAAATAAGGAAGTAACTGTGATACACATATTATATGTAATATTTATCACGCGAAAATCATCCCCAAAACGATACTTCTGTCAAAAAGCACGTGTAGATAAAGATTCAAAACGTGCCCCAGTGATAAGGTACAAAACAGGTCCGTACATGTAACAGTGCCAGATTGATAACTGAGGTAATGGAAAACAATTCTTTCGGTCGTGCCTGAGGTGATGATCGATTTTCGAATACTCGCGCATTCGTTTAACTCACTTCTTCGGGCAGTATGACAAACTCTTCTGAGATGATCCGGTCTAAAAAGAAACTATATAAACTCAAAACAATTTTGAATAATTTTCCCACTCAAAAATATCACAATATATTGGGGAAAATGCGCACATGGTCAACTACATGCGTTTATGACAAGATGAGCATCTCGAGGAAATTTTTGTTGGTTTCTGTACACTTTTACCCGAATTCGTATGTGAATCTCGATTGAACATTATCGCATTGAAGTGGATAAATAACATATCACTCTGATTAATATATATCAAATAAAATACCGGAATGTTGTCCATCCGTGAGATGAGCAACAAATTTCACATTTTATTTCGCGAAAAACGCATGTGAGCAGTGAATAACGCGTAAAACACGTGGTATGTGTTTTTCATGTGATACGGGGTGATTCGCGAAGTGTTTTCAATTCGCCACTTCATATCGCGTTTTTAACATGGAGTATTACATCACTTCACGTAAAACTATTCCAACTACAATCCATTAAATAAAGTGAAAGGAATATATTTGGAGTTTCACAACTACCCGTTTTACGTGAAGTGGCGTCGGAATACTCCGTGAAAAACGCGATATTCGCGGTGATATGCAGTAGTCGGGAAATATATTTTTCATATCACTAGGGCCGCCCTTAGAACTCCATTATATAATACTAAAATCAACCTTCCATCACCTCCTTACGTTGGATCCGGACACACCCTACACAGTTGAGCTGGCATGGGAGCATTTTCAAAACGATTCCATACACTGCCAGGCTCAAAACGGAACAATCGGTAATATCTGAATTGTGCTTGCGGGTGAAGATGGCAACCAAAGACTTACAGCATCTGTAAGCTCTTGAGAAGCGACGCCATTGGAGTTGTATCTACCATTGATCGATTTATACTGGAGTTGCACGACCCGTTTTACGCGAAGTGGCGAGAAACACGATATGAAGGGAATTGAAAATAGTTGGCGAATTACACCGGACAAATCACCCCATTTCACGTGAAACACATACCACGTGTTTTACGCGTTATTCCCTGCTCACATGCGTTTTTCGGGAGTAAGTGAAATGTAAAAGATGTTTTCCATATCACGGGTCAAGAAACTCCATACAAGAAACGCGCAAAAATCAATGTTATTTTCTACAACTTAATTGCTCTCACCAATGCGCATAATTTCCCACACAATTGTGATGAGATACAGTATTGGAAATTCTGCACATGATGACAATCTTGAGGAATTCTTATTGGTGATATGCGACATATTATACAATAACTACCTCGATTTCCCTGTTCTTGAAATAGCTTGTGCACGCCTTGCTTTACATGGCTCCATTGTTGTAATTGAATTTTCTCTATAGTGTTCAGATATTTCCTATTTCCTCTCATTTTACTTCCCGTGTTGACCACCATAACAGCTTGAGTCGTTCCTAATCGCAACCATCTAAGCGCGGGAAAATATGCACATGTGTTGGTGACAATATGAAAATTCTGTATTACACTTTTATTAATAAGCGATTTTCACAATATTCAAGTCCTAACGTATATCAACAGCGTGGGAAAATATGAACATGGTCAACTACGTGTGTTGGTGAGAAAACGAAAATTCTGGGAGGAAATTTTGGGAATTTCTTATTGGTTTATGCACACTTTCACACGAATTTCTCGAATGAGCGTGGAAACTCCCGAGATCTTCAACTGAGGAAAGCGAACATATATTCCAAATCCAGCAATGTGTATACTGGAGTTTCTCCACCCTAGTGATATGGCAAAAAACACTAGTGAAAAACATATTTCACGACTACTGAATAGTGCGAATATCGCGTTTTCACCGAGTTTTACGCCACTTCGCGTAAAATGGGTAGTTGTGAAACTGCAATACTAATTACTTATTATTTCGTTTTCAGCTAAACAGCCTGCTTCCTCTGCTACTTCCCATGCTGGAGTTTCTTGCTTCAAATGCGGTATTGAATCGATCACGCCATCTCTAGGAGAAATCATTGGAGTTTCACTCGTGATACGGAAATCACTAGTGAGAAACACATTTAACTTCGCGAAAAAAACGCATGTGAGCAGTGAATAACGCGTAGTACACGTTCTATGCAACAGCAGCAGTAGTTCAACAGGGCGAGGTAGGCGATGCAGAATCAGACTGCACAACTTGAAGAACAACCTCCTCAGATACTGCTCACATCAACTCGAAATTTTCATATAAACTCTCGCAGAACGATTATATTGGAGTTTCATCCGTTTAACGTGAAGTGGCATAATACTCCATATAAATTCAAAACGTGTATGTCTTCGCGGCCGCCAACACAATTTTTCTCCCTAAAGTGAATTGTAAAAAATGTTTTTCACTAGAGTTTTTCATATCACGGGTGAAACTCCAATGTTCAATAACAAGAGCGGCTCTATTTTCAAAAAATAAGTTTTCTCGCACTCTTCGAATGCGAACCTTATGGTATTAATTCCTTCTGCATGGTGCAAAAATGATAATACCACTCCGCTAACAACAACCCCGGAATTTTATCACAACTACCCGTTTTACGTGAAGTGGCGTAAAACTCGCTGAAGAACGCGATTTTCATGGTGATATGCAGTAGTAGTATAATGTGCTTTTCATATCACTAGGGTGAAGAAACTCCACTAGTATAGAGGAAATCGCCAAGTAACCCATGTCCTTTATTAACCTGTTACAAACCCAAATCATATTGTCATTGAAGACTTGACAGCAGCGCGATCGATGGACAAACTTCTGTTGAAGTGTTCCGCACCTCCGACGGCTTCATTGCTAGCAGAGCATCCCGACCATCCGAATCGTTAGTTACGAATGAACCTTCATTTTACACAATCTGTCCGGTTGATCTACTCCGTCGGAAGAACCTCCAGTGACGCTACCATTACACATCCCATACCCAGTTGACCTCTGTAACACACTAAACACAACACAGTGCAGTCGGGCAACTGTCGAGAATATGATGACGTAAGGCAAAAATACGTCAAGACTGTACAAACGAACTAATCTTTTAACGCCAGTGGAAAAATATAACACTCCTTTACTGAGTACCCTTCTGAACACCAAAAACGTCCCTCATCCACAGTGCACTTCAAACTCACCGTTTTAGCTTGCTTCACATGCTTTCCCTCTCCAACAACTTTCTCCACTAAGGAAGTCTTCACAGCCATCGTATGAGCATCAGATCGCATGTTAGCAAGCATAGTAACAAGCGCAGTATTCACAGGAGTTGGTACACCAACTAACGACCCGAAGCGCACCTGATTGAACATCATTTATTCAGGCAGACATTTTTCAGATTTTTCTACGAACTACATACAATGACCAACGTAGAAAAATATAAAAAAACATAACATCAAAATAGACCATTGATATCAAAGAATTTAAATAGTAAAGAAAAAAATCAAAATCTCCGAGGAGCTCTGCGCGAATTCCAGTGGGAATTTCCATGATGTAACTTCGTTATACTTCATGTTACAACTTCTACTCCGCATATAACAACCAGAGTAGAAAACTACACAAAAAGAAACACGCGTGAACAAGAATCGAAACCCCCGCTATGAAATTCGTATTTCGTGTACATTTCAACCCCGTATACAAATTCACAAACTCACAAACTCACAAACTCAGCTGAGCAACCATGGATTTTATATTCACCTACTACGACGATTCCACCACTAAACGACGAGAGATCCCAGCAGAAAAGGCACTTACAACTTGACCATTGATAAAATTGATCTCAGTCGGGCGTCCAAGTCTAACATCCCTTAGCATCGAGCTAACGTTAGAGCTGGTGCATCGGGCAGTGTCCGTCCACAGAGCATCCGAGTACTCCAATGGTACCTAAAGCACACCATATCACAGCGAAGGACGAAAACCAGCGAGGAAAAATCATACGAAAAATACCCTGAATATGATTAACTAAAATATGGAGATTCTTACTGGTTTTTGTACACTTCTACCCTACGTGTGCAAACTCGAATAATGATATAGTTGCGGAGCATATACCGCAACAACAGGCACTTTCAAGTTGTGCGTGCGTGCAGAATTATTCTGGCTTAACTACGAAGCGTTGAAGGCCACCACATGGATCAAATGACTTCTCTATATGCGAACATCTCGACGAAAATGACAGAAAAACGTCCAATCCGGGAATCGAACCGGGGACCTATATCAAATTCATTGATTGCATCAATAGACGAGGACTAAGTGAGCTCCGCCCCTTCCTCACGAAGGCCTAGTAAACAAACTCCGAAAGAAAACCAGACGAATTTTCCTCACCTTAACACCCATCACTCGGGCAACATTATAGGCCTCGTGTGCAGCCGCAGATGCTAGGGAAAATCTACCATCAAAAATAGTTACCAAAATTCCCTCCCCAAAAACACTTACAGTTGAGAATTGTCCAAAATTTCGCCGTTCAGGACGCCAAAAATGGCACTCACCGGGTTGATAGCGACATTTACTATTAGTTTGTCCCAAACCTGATAATACAACGAAATCATTGCAGAGCGAGCAAACTACAACAGACACTTTCGAGTTGTGCATGCGTGCAGAATAATCCTGGCTCAACTACGAAACGTAGGAGGCGACCAAAGAGATCAAACGACTCCTTTATATGCCGAAAATTCCGCAGAAATCGAAGACTTTTTACGGCAAAATTTTCTACCAATGAAAATATATCGAAACCATTGATCCGATCAGTAGATGCGGACTAAGCGAGCTCCACCCCTTCATCAAGAAGACATAATACCCCAGTCTCTAGTTCGTTATAGACCTACCATCTGCTGAGCTTCATCATCATCAACAGCATCTGACACATTGCAGGGAACCTGGGCGTCCTTGAAACACGCCGATAGTAATCGAGGGAGATTGTCTTCTGCGTGCTCCGAGACACTCTTCGGGGGGATAAGCTAACATAAACCATAAACGCCACTCATACGGTAGAGGACGATCATCACAGTAGCCTATCTGATCCCTCGAAAACTCATCTGATTGATTTTACCACTACTTATAATCAACTTCAGCACTTCCAGAGCAAATCCAACTTGGATGATGTTGTGTGTAAGTTGTATAATTCAATTAAAATTTCCCAGCAACTTCTAGCTCATCAGAAACACCTTCTCGCACTCTCAAATACGCTTATGCCCAGCCGTTAATTCAGCACAGGAGATATTCATTTCACAGCCGATCAATGTGACGCTGTAGTACCACCAGAGACCAACCCACCTTCATCCACGCCTCAGTGCCAGGTAAGACGTTGACCTCCAACACGCCAGGACGGGGTAGGTTGCAACCAATGTTAGTAACCGCCTGAAACAAGATTGTTAAAGTAAAATCTGAAAAACAACAAGCCCAATGATATCTGAAGTTCAATGACCATCCGATATCTTCCTGGGCGAATTGATCGATTATGAGTATCTTTTCCTCTCACTTTGAAACGGTAAGATACGTCACTCACCTGGAAGATATTTTTGCTCACGACCGATAACGCATCAACAGCTCCAATGCCGTTTTGAATCTAAAACAACTACATTCAGTCGGCCTAAGAAAGGCAACCCTACGCTAAGCACAGGCGCTCCATCACTGAGCAAACCAGAAAGATGTTTCTTAACGACATCTGGATCTTCCAACTGCCATGCCTTGGAGGCTACCACCACAAGCTCCGGTGTAGTACCACCGAATGCACCTAGGCAATCTTCAGCCTGAAATTGAGCAATCCTGATGTGATACATAATCTCTACTCATACACAGGTGATCATCCAGGAACCTATAATGTTCCCGGGAGAAACTCTTTTTGAATTTTCCAATTTCCAATATATAAATGTCATCACGTTAGTAACATTTCCTCCATTGTTATCAAACCCAAAAGGCCCCTAGACTTACATTATGAACAACTCGGAATCCCACAGTGTTCGGTTGTGTTCCCTCCAGAGCTGGTAACATCCTGCCCTCACTGTCCACACAATCCAAACCCGAGCTCATCATCGCCGCTGCATGTGAGTGGGGACTCGTCATGAGCACAACATCGGGAACCTACAGACACCTTTCCCGCACGAGTTCGATCCCCGGGAGTGTCACTTTCTTAGACAACGCTTGAGCAAAGAAAGTCCCCATCGCTCCTCCACCAACCACCGCCACTCTAGTAGGATTCGACGGCATCACAACCGGCGGCGCAGTAACACCTAAGACTATAACTCATGAAAACCAAACCCCACTGCAAAGTGAATTTACCCGCGGCCTCACTGACCGAATGACCAAGCTCAGCCAACAGCGTGTCGTACTCTATCGGCTTCATCTGTGAGTACGTGTGAGGGCCAGGGAAACTACCCGACTTAACCTCGTCTACGTATCTACCACCACAACTACTCACAGACTACTGTGATTCTAATATAGGCTCATCCATTGACATCACAATACCAACAACTCGTTCGAATGGCTGAACTCATGCCACTCACTAAACACCATTGGAGTTTCACCCTAGTGATATGAAAAAAATATATTCCACGACTACTGCATATCACCGCGAATATCGCGTTTCTCACAGAGTTTTACGACGCCACTTCACGTATAACGGGATGTGAAACTCCATCATATCATACATACTATAATACACTAATAAACTACATAAAATTCCAAGTACTACCAGAACCAATCCCTACATGAAATTGGATCATAACAAACTGAATTTCTCCAATAGTATTTTCATGTAGGCTAATGCCAACCAAACCCACCGAGTACATTAACGCGAAATTCACACTCTTCTTGTAATGCATATATGAACAACTAAATCGAAACATTACTCACAATACTTTTTTAACACTATTATTACTACACCACCAGTGTATGCATTTTACTACTATATATTGTCATCATCAACACATGTAGTTGACCATGTACATATTTTCCGAGAAAATATAAAATTTTCAGAAAAATTCTTTTCCACACTGCTGACGTAAACCCCACCTAATTTTCCCCCTACTACCTGCTAACTCCAATATTCATAAGCTCACGAGTATTGACAAACGCCTTTGCCAATTTCGGCGCTTTCGGTGTCAAGCCTAGCAAATCGTGTACCACCAGAACTTGTCCCGAAGTATCTAAAACCATCAGCGTTGAGGAAATGCAAGATTGCAAGTTGCCTACCAGGACCAGAGCCAATGCCTATCGTAGGGATATTTATAGCTTCTGTGATGAGCTTCCCAACTTCACCTGGTACACACTCTAGTACCTGTCGCGAATAGGTGATGGAATTATGGAGTTTCTTCACCCTACTGATATGAAAGACATATTTCACGACTACTGCATATCACCGCGAATATCGCGTTTTTCACCGAGTTTCACGACGCCACTTCATGTAAAACGGGCAGTTGTGAGACTCCATTACTACTACTACTACTACTACTACTACTACGTACTAACATGACACATCCCGCGGCTTCCAACTGCTTAGCAAAGTCGATCAAGTGGCACGCTGCTGAGGCAGCCTTCCCCTGTATCTGATTAAAAAATGCACGTGCCGGGATTCGAATCCGATACCTTCCCCTGCACAAAAGTTATTACCCTCCCATCTGGACATAATAACTCAGCAGTGTGGGAAAATATACGTCTATGAAAATTATGTGGAAATTTTTCGGAAATGATTTTTTCGAAAAAAAAATTTCCAGAAATTTCCTCGAGATTTTCATATTATCACAAACGCACGTCGTCGAGCATGCGCGAATTTTCACACACTGGCTTAGCGGCGTCAATACGACAACACTCATATTTCTGAATTTCGAAATTACTTACAAAACAATTTGTGAGAAAGTCAACTACATGTGTTGGTGATAATATTAAAATTTTATATACCCTAATCCGGAACGGCTCAAACATATAAGACCGCCCCGTATTACTCGATACCCTCCCATCTGAACGTAACTCTGCGGGGTCAAACCAATATGCCCAACAACACCAATGCCAGCAGCAGTCATGCGCCGTATCAATTCCGTGGAAAATTCTGCTGAGCTCGATGGACACTAACATAAAATTTTCCACAAGTAAAAAACGAAAAAAAACTATACCTCCAACTTAACAATATCCGCTCCAGCTTCCTTGATAAATCTACCAACGATTGTGTAATTTATTCCGTATCCGTGAACGATTACCTAGCTCCATTTCTGACGCCATCTTCTACCGTTAGGAAGGATCCAAAGGGCATATCCCCGATTATCATCGGACGATTATGGACCAAACCGCGACGAACAGCCTGGGTGTGTAAAACCTGAAAAAAAATTTTCCCAATTTTTCCCTATCGGAATAAATTACACTCAGAAAATCGTCCACAAACCTACACTGTGCCCCGGAGAAACTCATTTTACATTTTCCAAATTCTTCAATCAGTTTCCCATATATGAATGTCATCACATTAGTAACATTTTCCTCATTATAGTTTCACCCATGAAATGAGAAACACACTTTACATTTCACTTCGCGAAAAACGGGTGAAACTCCATTGTTATCAAATCCAGAGGGGACGCTATCTATCAACGCTACATGGACCCCTGCTTTTAGCTGAGCCTAACTATAATACTAACGAATATATGTATTAATGGAGTTGTATTCGTTAAAAACACTAGTGAAAAATATATTTCACGACTACTGCATATCACCGAGTTTTACGCCGACACTTCACGTAAAACGGGTAGTTGTGTAACTCCATTACCATAGCATCCATAGAAATCGGCACAGTCGAGTCAAAACCATGAACGACATTGGCGACCGAGTCTCCCACCAGGAGGAGATCAACGCCGCATTCCTCAGCTATACCTACACGGTGATGGAATCGAACCAGGGACCTTCTGGTGTTAATACTACCAGCGGTCATAGCATCGTAACACGTCATCATAGTTATTTTATCACCTTCTCGATGAAGCTTCTTGATCTGCGTTAAAGTGATCTTCTTAGGAGCTTTCGTGTGCGGCGCTGAACGATGGGTGAATCGAAAATTCGAGAAATTTATGGTATGACAAAAAATCGGAAAAATATATCAGCTTTTAGTTTTTAGGGAGAATATTCAGATAATCAACTGCATGTGTTGGTGACAATATGAAAAAATTTCGCAAAAAAATTCTCATTGATTCCCCTACATCTATATTCAACTCTGGAAACTCCTCTAAGCTCAGCTGAGGGAAGCAAACATATATTCCTCCAATGACAAAATCACGTAATAATAATGTCGAACAACATTTTCCTATAAAAGCAGTTGACCATAATACGACCAACGACTTCGAAATCGAGTTATTGTTATTACCCTTAGACGCCGCCTTAGCACCACCATAAGGCGAGGCTTCGCAGCTGCTGCTGAACATTCTACTAGGGGAGTTCAGCACTCTGAAAAAACGAGGAAAAAATGTAGTTTTTTTTCAGAATTCAATTACGACTTGGAAATTTTAGTCAGGTTTTCATACAGTGATCCCGATACCTCACCTGAAGGAGTTTCGTTGAGCTTTATGGAAAGTAGCTGGTCGGATAGATGCAGTTGACACTGATCGACTGAGTAGATGCGACAACAACAACGATGATGAAGGCGATCCCTTAGAACACAGAGAATAGGACATCAACAACAACTATCAACGAATGAGTATCGATAACACTAGTACGGCTTCCTGAGGAGTATCCCCAACTACTATCACTAAGGATGCTTACTTAAGCTCATCATGTCCTTGTCGTAGACAGTAGCGCGCGCCCGGGTACATGGCTCTAGCTGTCTGCAATAATAATATAAGTCTGCACTAAGCTATTTAATATATATGTTTAATAATAAAATTATATTTTAAATATAAAAATAATAGTAATTATAGAAATTATAGTGTATATATGACTACAGTAGTTATCTACATATCTGAACCGCTCTAACTAATATATATTTCATATTTGGAAGCACAAGCCTGCTAGTGCGTCTTGACCTCCGACGGCTCCTGCATGGCGGGTTTTACACCTCGTTACGGCGCGTGCTGGTACTCATTAGCTGCCCTGCTCAGTTTTGGCTAGATGCGTCCAAATATGAGAGTGAAACATGGAGGGATACCATTATGAACGATCCTCTTGCTGTTGATGTATAGCATTAGATCAGGAGCGGAGTTATAGATATACTCCCCGAGTAAAAGTTGGTATTTTGAGGCGCAATTTTAACACGTGTATGCTAAGAATATGTGGAGAAAAGGTTTTACCGGCCGTCGACTTCTCACTAACTACGAAGAGTTAGGCCCTGAAACTTGGAGGTCATATCAGGTAAAGCATAAGTACATACCTCCCTGAGCCGCTAGATGATACTCGTTGTGGTGGCTGTGCACGAGTCGAAAAACCGGATATGCTAAGAATATGTGGAGGGGTGTATATATACATGATGATCTCGGTTTTAGCACCGTTATTTTCTCGAGTGATCGATTACCATATTATTAACAACCATTGGCTCTCCAATAGAGAGCATAGCGCGATGCACTTGTCGTTGGATCTAAAGAGTATATGTATTATCTTGCTTTCGTTATCCACTACCAAAGCCGTTTCATGTTATAAGGAATGTGAGCAGACGATCATAAAAATTCTCCTAGGGGAATTCAGAGTAATCATATATTCCCTATTGGAATCTATAGCCTCGATACAGGTAATGGTTAATGATAATACGACATGTAAAACCAGTAGGCGAGCCTACTATAACGGCTGCAGAGGTAAGCGTCGCCAGGTCTACTGCTTCCCAGAGGAGGAGGAGAGGGTTAAATCGATATACTATCAGAAGCAATCTATAATGAGCCGCCAACTCGAGGAAAGTTACTATACAACAAAATGCTCACTCGGTGACCTGATGTGGTCGTTGACAGATGCAATACAGAGGACTCGTCAAGTAGTCAGCTTCGTATCTCACCAACATGATGATGATTCAACAAATTCTATATAAAAACTTGGTAATTTTTCGGAAAACCATCTCGGTTAACAACGACAAAATATGAGAATATTGCACACATACTGCGGCTGAGCGAATATCTAACAGGTTTCTTAAATTAGGATTAACTTCCAACCTCGCCAGTTAGCAAAAGTAATATTCACAATTACTTGTGTCGGTGACAGCAATATGAAAAAAAAATTTTGAGAAAATTCTTTATTTGGTTTCTGTACTAGAATTCGTATAACTAGTGAGAGAAATGCTGAGCTGCTCAGCTGAGGAGAGTGAATATATATTCCAACACTGCGTTCACTCCGCCGAAAACACAATATTTCGTTTCGCGATGGGATTTACTTTTTTCTGTAGATTTTATGAAATTATCATAGGAATTTTATCGGGTTTTGGAAAATATGCACATTTTTGAGTATATTTTTTGATAATTTTGCGATTTTTTTCGCCGATGTTTTCGCGAATCTTCGCAGTGGAAGTCTCCTGAGCTCAGCTGACGTAGCTGAGATGTTCGATATGATAATTTCGTGTCGCAGTGAAATCGTCGGAATATGAAGATTTACTTTTTTATTATCAGAGTACAGTAACTCACCGGTAGTATGTTCCGTGGAAAATAACACCATTGTTGAGCGGAGCGAAGCTGCGGATATAAACGTGGTAATATTGGTGATCTAATTTTCTTCAAGAGATTGTTAGCATTGGAGTTTCACAACTACCCGTTTTACGTGAAGTGGCGTCGTAAAACTCGGTGAAAAACGCGATATTCAACGCGGTGATATGCAGTAGTCGTGAACTATACTTTCCATATCACTAGGGTGAAGAAACTCCATCATATACATTAAAATGATTATCATCGTTTGATATGATGACACCGACGCCGTTCGCGTGACCTTGTGTATTTTTTGCCAATCTTAATCACATCTAACAGCGTGCATTTCCGACGCTTCACTAGTCTGTTATTTATAATATGTTTGCTTAGTAAAAGTAGCTACTACTCTCACTGGAGTCTCTCGCAGAGGTTAAAGCCCGTAAATGAAATCGGGTATTATCTGTAGAATGCAACTCACGGAATTTTCTAGTGAAAAGGGCTCAATAGGAAGATCTGGGAGAGCACTTTTAAATGGTATTTTTGAATTGTAAAATATGATTTGCCTCTGCTGAGCTATGTGCAGTTGACATACCGAAATTTACTCAAAATCTGTGCGAAAAAAGTGCTTCCTGGTAAAGCGTCGCTATAGGGAATTGACAAACCACAATATGTGATTTAATATTGTATGGTTTACTTGATGAGAATACGCGATGATATGAATTAGTAATAATAGATATACCAATTATGGAAAGAAGTCAACTGGGACTATCAAATCGGGACAGCATGCGGTGGCGCTATCACTCCCACGCCCCCTACAAGTGAAACGGTGATCGATAGAGAGCTATCAGCTATTTATTTAGTTTTACATCTAATAAGCCTTAATAAGGTTTGTTTGCGTATTCGAAGAGATATGAACTTTTCGCTGTCAAAATCGAACACACTGTACTAAGTAGTGGGATTTTAGAAGTGCTCTCCAAGATGTTTCTAATGAGACACTCCTCAGTGGAAAATTCTAATTCAGTTGTGCACCCTGTATTTACTTTTGTTGTCGCAGATTGCGACTGTCGGTCTAGATGGTTTTTATTTTTCTATTTCCAGTGTTGGAATATATGTTCGCTGTCCTCAGCTGAGTCAAAGAATTTCCTCACTAACTGTAAAATTCACATGCGAACTCAAGTAGTATGTTCACAAACTGATGGGAAGATTTCCTCAGAATTTTTTTCATATTGTTATCACCAACACATGTGGTTGACCATGTACATATTTTGTCACACTTTTTATCAATCTATCCGATTCCGATAGTTTTTTGTTGAGTTTCCCGTGGGATGAATGTCGTAGGTAGAAGTAGTTGCCTGAGTATAAATGGAGGATCATCAGGATTCCGCGGAGCTTAATTTCGATCCGGTAAGCGGTGTTGGAGTCGCAGAAATTTCGATGGAGTTTCTTGAGCGGTGACATGAAAAAACATATTTCACCACTACTGCATACCACCGCGAATATCACGTTTTTTACGGAGTATTACGACGTGAAAAGGGCGAAACTTCAGTGTATTCTCAACAGAGTTATTGTGTATGTGAAAGTTTCTGCGGGTAGGTTATGAGCTACGCCCACTTTACCACTGTGCGTGTTATACTAGAGATGGTCAGTAGCAGTAGAATACGTTGAATTGGCATGCCCATAGGAACTACTCTAGTGTTGACTGTGTTCAGGTATGGCAGAAAGCGCAGTGTCTGAATATATGTGAGGTAGAACAGCTTCTACGACAGCCTTACGCCCGTTTGGTTGAGTCGGGTCGTACTAGTGCTAAGACACAATGCCTAGAGCAGAGTTATAAGCATGCACTCAGGTAAGGAGTAAGTCGTTTTCAGTCGTTCTGTTACAGCAGAGTTAAATGGAGTTTCACAACTACCCGCTTTACGTGGAGTGGCGTCGTGAAACTCTGTGGAAAACGCGATATTCGCAGTAGTCGTGAAATAAGTTTTTCATATCACGGCCGCTCGTGAAACTCCAATGGAGACAGTTGTCGTTTTGATGACATTCCAATGAGACATGCTCAACTACATATGTGGTGATTAATACGATTCCCTACAATTTTTCTGCGATTTTTTAAAAAAACGCACTCAAAAAGTCCAAAGTTAATGCTCTGGTTTGGTGGAAATGTCGGTGGTTTTTGACACATATGACGGTTTTCCAATATCCTTTGAGTCAACGGAACACCGTCTGATCTCACGTAGAACGTAAGATTAATAACAGCTTAAAAAGGTCTATGGAAGTTCGATCGTAACAGACTAACGTACTAGCTTGACGCTAGATACACAGCTACATCACAATTATAAGACAACTATGGAGGACAATCTCTTGTGTCTTCGAGTGACTACAACATTCTAAATACTCATTCTCAAAATCCGCTGAACCCAGCACACACACACTCTTCTAACAGAAATTGTCCTATTCTGTTCATCCGGTTTTTTGTTGTCAGGTTTTCCAAAATTACAGACCCTGAAGCCTTGACGGAGCTGCGTGCAGCACTCGAGGACTGGGAGCCACCTACTGCGGCTCAGGGAGGCAAGTTGCACAGCTTCGAGATGGTCAGTGCTGCTTCCTCTCTCTGGTGTTGATTACTATTTCTCTTTCAGGCGCAGTTGGTGTCGTTACTGCCAGAAAACGCGAGTGTGGCGAAATCGTTGATACCGAGTATGTCACGATATAGTGACAAGTGAGTTACTCATTTTATTGCTAATGATAATGATGTTACTTTTCAGTGATCTCGATCAGCTGCTCGCTGACATAACTACTTACAAGAGTTTTGGTGGCGGTATGGGTCTGGAAGAGGACGGTCAAGACGAATTGATATGAGACATTATAGATCATCCAACTTTCACTTGATGAGCGGCGGTCTGTGTTGACTATAGTGTCGGTGAAAAGATACGAAACGGATGTATATTCTTATTAGACGTGAACACGGACGAGATAGCGGACAATATCACCAGAGTCGTCTACTAGCCCATATATCTCAGGGAAATTTAGGCTCAGGAAGAAGGCTTTCCGGTGTTAAATTTATTAACATTTTCAACCCTCTCTCGTGCTCTTCGTGGTTCGACTGCTGGATGCCTCATAAACTTAATACCCCTAGAGCGGCGTAATCAATGCAGTTATGAATATATCCTCGCTTCGCAGTAGTATTCACGAGGACCGTAACGTGTATGGCAAACCATGTTGGAAACTCCATGGAATGTTTCAGTCAGCCTATCTCAAACGATGCTCAACTGCTTTTGTCGTATTGTTAGCCATTAGGAAGCTCAATGGTCAATGGTTAATGGAGTTAGAGATGGTATGGATTCTTTTTAGGAAGTATGGAGGAAGTATTGACAATTGCGCTGTTCGTACTCTTCACATACATACATACCCGTTGTGGTGTTCGCCTCAGTAAAACTGTTGCCGTGGCCTTGACAACAAATGGAATCGAGAGATTCTATTAACAATCATACTCATTAAATCATGATCAACTAGCTTCGAGCTGAGCTAAGATTCCATAGAACTCGGCACAACTACACATATGGTATACCCAATACCACTATGCAGCTCAAAAGTCAACGTCGAGGATGATAGCTTGGCTAGTATTCGAACAGAAATCTCAACATGATAGCATCGGCCCTTGAGAGACCGAAGTAACATCATATTATAATTACACAAAAACAAGCTGAAAGTGTTCGTAGTTAGATCGGACCAATATATGAACAGGCGACGCGAATGTGCTCATCTCAATTTCAATCCACAACGTTAATGGAGAATTCGTTGCAGACATGATATTATTCCTAGTGCCACAGCAGACTGGCATTTCATAGGAAATCCTTTGCGCTCATTCGACCTGGTCTACGCCTTTTAAACATCTAGTTCGTCCTTGGAACCATCAATTTCGTCGGGACGCGCGAAGAACGGGAAGATCATATTCGCAATTAGAACTTTCAACTTCGTCGAGTACACCTTTGGAACTTCAATTTCGTCCCTTTAGGAAAATCGACTTCGTCGTTCGGAACTTCAATTTCGTGTTTGCGGGGCAATTATGCCAGTACTCTTACGAGAATAGATGATGAAGCTGTCCTTACTAAGGAGCGTAAGGAATTCCTACTTTTGGGGTACGCATTAAGGAGTAGTTTCCACGTTATGGGCCCAGTATATGAAGTCATGATTGAGTGTGACCGTTCGCCGTCATAGGATGACGATGAAAATAGTTCGCCCATTAAACAGCATGTCAGGAAGTTTGTATTTGCTCAAGTTGAGAACCAACGGGGGTAGATGTGAAGGTCTGTGATGTTTCTTATTTGTGTTGGCTTCCAGCGTATCATCGCTGTGCGAGGTTGGGTGTTGGGCACCTGCTTTGCTCGAAGCCTTAGTATATGCCATGATGGCATATAGTCAACTTGCACAGGTGCGGCCTGCTTACTGTGAGATGAATGCAAAATGGAACAGCTTGCATTCATGGAAATTGGCTGATTAGCCATGTACAGATAGAACTGCCGGCTAGTTTCCCAAGTACGGTTGAAACTGAAAGCCTGTGACCAGAGACTGGCCATGAGATGTTCGAATTCACGTTATTTTGTGTGCGGGTGAGGCGCACAAAGGTATCTTGAGAGCAGTTTCGCAGGAAAAAGAAGGTTAACTCGATGAATTGAGTTCTAAGATCTTCGCCTATAAGTGATACAGCAAAGCACAGGCATGATGCGTTCTGTGATGTTTCCGAACTCACGCCCCGGGATGAAGAATTTTGAATTTTTGTATCGAACTGATATGTTTAGTCGCACACGTTTCACTCATGTTGCGCGTAGTTCCTCATGTTGGAGTGTTGGTGATGCTCTGAGTTCAATTTGTGGCTCGATTGATATGATGCATTATTTGAGCATGTTGTCGAATAAGTAAAATATCTATCATTCCTGCCCGGTAAATATAGATCGCGTATGCAATGAGGAAAACCTGGGGGAGGGGGTATACGGGCTTCGACATGCTGCATTAACACACTCCATTGAAATGGTATGATACATCTTCGGAAACACATCTTCACTGTGGATTCCCCATAGGTTTGGATAGTAAAATCTTCGTAAAGAATCACACATTTATGCGGTAATATTGAACCTCATATTGCGGTTGTCGTCTGAGCCAGCTGGCTCAGCGAAATCGCCTCCTTCCCCCTCACTAAGATCTCCTTTGGGGAATAGATCTGATATTCGCGGACAGCGAATACTCTACATTGGAAGCTTTCCTACCACGTCGTTATTCTGTGAGTTTCATTAAAGAGGTTTGAGATAGTGTGTGTCTGATGGGACATACTGCCTGTTGATTGATCACTGATGAGCGGTTAAAACTTCCGGACTGAGGACGACTCTTTCACTTTTCTGGCTACAGCTCTATCTTGATAGTGGACTATATGGTCAGTACTCGATCGAGTCCACCAGAGGTATATCAAGAACTCCCTTGCTGCATGTACATCGACTATACTGGACCGCTACAGACACCATACGGGTAGCCGATGGTGATACTGGTGTACCCAGTTCATCCTGATGTTGACGCGTGCAAAACCTGTACGCGTGCGCATATGTACCCTCACAACAGAGTGCACGGCCGCTGTAACAGTGGTTTGGATTCGTGATTACAGTGAAGTATGGACGAAAAATCGACTCATTGTTTTTGCAGAGCTTCTAGTTGAAAATGAGGGTTCCGTTCATTTCGACACTTCTATGTGGTTTCTGTTATTCACAGAAAGAGACCACCACCAGCCCGACTACTACTACTACTACTCCTACTACTACTACAACCACTACTACTACGACGACTACTACCACTACACCTCCACCTCCTCCAACCGTGTTCAATGCTACTAATATGCGTGTTCAGTCCAAGATTGTCTATTATTGCAACAAAGCATTCAAGACACCTAATGGTAAGGAATCAAGTTGTGGTCTCTCGCAAACTATGGAAACTTTTAATATGGTCTTGCCCCTTATGGATGATAAGACTTTAACAATCCTTGAGGACTCATACGTTGTCAAGGACGGCCAGGTGTCTGTTGTAGCATGGCCAAGTCGACCATACCAATACATGATCTACGTCACTACGCCTTCCAAGAGGACGGTCATGCAGATCTATGATCACAAGTCTTATGTGATCAAAGAAGAGAAAGTAACTTCATCTCAAACCTTTGGTAACTATAGAACACTAAATGACGATGACTGGAAATATGAAGGCTTAGTCCTAGTACAGGGCGTGAATCAAAGTGTGTGGACTTCAACCGGTGGATTGCCAGCTGGTGGTGGTGGTAAGCAAGAGTTCGATCTACTAGGAGCTTCTCAAGTTGCTCCGAACAAGTGGAAATTACATCTCGACGAGACGAACACTACTCTATATAACATCGAGGGCCTTGCGGGTGCGGGTGACATCGTGGTCCAGCGAACGAGTATCAATTACTTGGCCAATCTGACTGATGACATGACCGTTGACCAAGCTCTGAGCGCTGTATATAAGAGCTATAAAGTTACAGAGCACATCCCTAATCCAGGTGACCCCAAGACAGTCCCCTATGTTCATCCCTTGTTGGCCAAGACTCATGTTATTACCGAAGAAACTCGCCAGTTCTTCGAATCTCAAAAGCCCGCTGAGTGCACGCCGAATGAAGGAGAGTCCCCGCCTCCTATTGCTTGCTATACGATTGTTGAAGGGACCAGCTCGTACGACTTCTTCTATGCTGATTCTGCTCCTCCTGGGAGGCGCCTTATCAAGCTCAACAGGTTCCAATACCCTACTGGATGTCGGGCTGATATTAACACGCTACAAGATCCTAATGTATGCCTGTTTATTGATATTGATGCTGAACCGCAAAAACTTGGTGTCGAACTTGGACTTCTTTTGCAAGATGTGAATAAACCTTCATCAACAGGTGTGTTAGGCCTCGATATAGTTTTATCGTGGCCTGGTGGTAAAACCTTGGAAAGTTTGAGGTTCTTTGGGGTGACATGTGCGACAATTTGGCAAGTGAAAACCCCTGCTGGTGTCGGTCTTGCCCTCAATATTTGTTTCAATGGGAATGCCACCAGCACTGACCAAGTGGCGGTCACCCTCACGTTCACTCAATTGGGAAGTAGTGGGCAGAAGATGACTGTTGCTGGAGTCGCGAAAGGCACTGCACGGGGTGGCAAGATGTTTGCCTCAGCGGATAGTCTAGTTACCGCTGGTGCTGAGGACAAGTCGACTGATGCGGCCGTTTCCTTCGATCTCAATGCCTCTAGCAGAGAGGATCTCATAACTCTATGGTCGTTCCTATCGGGTTTCGACTTCGAAATTGGTAGAAAGATATTAAACTGGCGTATGGTATATCACTGGCGAGTTGAGCAGTGGGGAACTGGGACTATCATCCTTTAGTCGTGTCTATTCGGTCGTTATTAGTATTCCTTACCAATGTATAGTTACAATCTTGTCGAGTTTTTAATCTCGACTTTATCGTCGGTTGTCATCGTATCAATGATATCAAGTTTTTCTTTTTTACGTCGTGTGGAGTTCAAGTGGTCACTGCGGGTCCTTACTGACAATAGAACGGACTACCCTGGCGTTTCTTACCCCTGCGCTCGTCCAGGAGCTCATAATTTTCTGAGGGGGAATTCATTTTGAAATTTCCGCATGACTAGGAACACATCCTTCGAACAGTTTCCCCATGTGAATGTGATCACAATAGGAACATTCTCTCCTTCAACCCTAGCGGGGACGTCGTTTCTCAAAGATATATGGGAATTCTTATCCCTGCACTCAACAGATGGGTTAACCTGTCTTATCACAGCTCTGTCCTCCATTTGATTGGTGAGCTGGAAATCATGGAGCGCTCAAACATCTATGGGTTGCACGCTACAACAATCGATTTGAGACGCGCAATTACACCTACTCAAAAGCGCCGCTATATTGAGTATTATTTATCACCAACACGAGTCGTTGAGAACACTTAGTCTTCAATTGAAGTTTGAAGACAATAGGCTTCTTGTAACAATGAGTATAGTAACTAAGAGTTGCACTTGCTTACCGTAATATACTAGCAACATAAAGAAGACCTGAAAACAATCTCATCACACCGTCGTCTCCACACCATTTGCTGATGGGACATCTGCACCCATCACACTCCATGAGGGCACTGGACGCTCGGTTGTGTCATGGGACAAAGGACATTCCTCGTGTTTCTTGGGTCGCCCTTGAGATGAGATCCGTATCTCTTTCACCACGATAAGTCTTACAATTCTGTCCTTCTCCGATCACCGGATCGACTATCGCGCTCCTAAGTACTCATCCCCACTAAGCCTTTCACCAACTACTCATGTGAAACTCCCATATTGCTATCAACACGTGTAGGTCACCAGATGCAACGATCTCAGGATATCACCATACGACGTCGGAAATGCTAATACGGAGAAGAATAGGGATAGTGTGCTGAGCAGTGGTAAAATGTACAAAACCGCCACATTAGCTGACGAATGAGACACTACGGTGAAGTCGATCGGAAGGCCCTGTGACGCAACACAAAACGACTGTACACTTTCATAACATGAACATATTCAATGTCCGTGATCATGTACTCTTCCCATCACCATGTTCCATTTTAAATAACCTTAACCCCAACATTAGCACAGCTACGACCAGCAGTAGCAGCAGTGGTGCTATAACAGGTACTTCTTGTCCAGAAAACATTCCTGAAACTCTCAAGAATAATTCTCAAATGCCTCTATAATCGCTGGTCACCTTCGAAGGCGTTTCCAATACCACGTTGGCCAACTCTAGTGCCTTGACATATAGCGCGCTCTGTAAGGCCCGGTCTTATCCAACTCGGTGGCATCTGCTGAATCACTTCAACACTTTCGAACTCTACCGGTGTGAACGAAGCTCCGATCACATTATACCTGTGCGCGGGGAGAGGAGGGATATGCACGTCACGGTCAACGGATGAAATGAAAATTCTGAGGAAATTTCGAGAATTCTCCTTGGTTTCTGTTTACTACTACAGAAACCTCCCGAGCTCAGCTAATAAGGAAAGCAAAGATATATTCCTACTCCAACACTGAGCACGACATACCATTCTCCTTCGACAAGAGCTCTTACCAATCAACAGTTCTCTTCAGACCAACCGCGAGGTCCACAGTCGCTGGCGGGGAGAATACCCGTCGGACCTTTTCGTGACTAGCAACAGCATTGACGACCTCCAAGCGAGCCGGCTCGTATCTTGTAGTATTAGATCAGTAGTAGTGGGTAATCCGGCGGTGAGAAAATATGCACATGGTCAACCACATGTGTTGGTGGCATTTGTGGAAATTCTCATTGGTTTCTGTACACTTCTACCCGAATTTGTATGTAAACTTCTGGCCTCAGCTGAAGAATACGAACATCTATTGCAACACTGAGGTGATCAGCGTTCCGGAGGCTCTACAGTTGACGTACTAGGATCATATGTCAACCAGGAGTCTTCGGAGTGCTGCTCACCAGTGTTGGGGGAATATATATGTTGGCTTTCCTCAATGATTATATGAATTCTGGCACGAAAAGTGTACAGAAACCAACGAGATGGTTTACTGTGTTTTTTAATATTCACTGGAGTTTCACCCTGATATGAAAAACACTAGTGAAAAATATATTTCACGACTACTGCATATCACCGCGAATATCGCGTTTTTCACCGAGTTTTACCACCATTTCACGTAAAACGGGTAGTTGTGAAACTCTATTATTATTCATGACGATAAATACCACAATCGTATATTAAAATTATAGAAAAATTTTCCCAGAATTTTCTCATAGTTTCAAAATCCCCCCACACTGCAGCTCACTTGAGAGGGTAATCGGCCTTCCCCATAGCAGTGGAGATCTCCTGAGCTAATCGGTTAACACTGTAAGGAGTGTCAGCGCCGATATTAAATACCTGACAAATATTCCCCTATGATCGGCGTTAGCATCTAACCTCATTTAGTGCAGATTTCACTAAGGGAGCTCTCGAAATGACGGGCGCAACATCATCTATATAAGAGAACGCTCGAAGTTGTTGTCCATCTCCAAAAATCGTCAACGGCTTCCCATGGATGATTTGATTCACGAAAATTCCCACTACATTTCGATACCTGATAAAATATTACACTTTATGGATTCGCGTTAGAAACTTGCACGCCTATAGTTTTAGAATATACTAATACTGTTACAGTAATAAGAGCTCACACACGAAGGCGTGATATCTTCGGAGGCACATCTGCCGACAAATCCTAGCGAAATCCCTTGAGCGATTAACGGCATCATACTCGCCCACGAGGCAAATAGAAACAATCATCCAGCCGGGAATTTTTCTTCCTCATCAAAGTTTTTCCAACTCTTTCGGGAAATTTCCTGACAAATTTTCCCCAGCTGTGCACACTCTGATACTCTACTTTTCGGAAAATTTTCTAATAAATTTTCTGGGAAATTTTCCCCAGCTGTGCATACTCTGATACTCTACTTTTCGGGAAATTATCTCGGAAATTTTCCCGAACTGGCACGATACCTTTGAAGGCGCATCACTCCTAGCAAAATCCCTTGCTGCTCATATAACAAACTCACCTATCGAACATGTTCTGATGAGGACCGTAGACGTTGTGTGGACGAAATATGACAAAATTAATGCCCCACATATCATGCGCGGCTCGTAAATCCATCTCGAATGCATATCTAATGTGAGTGTAATTACAACGCGATTACGTATCTGCTTCTCCGGACGGTTGTGTGCTGGATTCAGCATATTTTGATAATGAGAGGCGAGAATGTCGAAGTGACTTGGAGGACAATCTTTTGTGTCTTCGAGTGACTCCGACAGTGTTGGAGGAATATATGTTCACTCTCCTCAGCTGAGCTTAGGAGTTCTCTCACTAATAACAGAATTGGGAAATTTCCCGAAATTTTCCCTCAGAATTTCCATATTGTGGCCAACACATGTGGTTGACCATGTGCATATTTTCCCCCTGCACCAACTGCAAGCTTGAGTAGTGTCAGCATCTACCTCAGGCCAGTGTGGGAAAATATGCACATGGTGAACCACATATGTTGGTGACAATATGGAATTTCTGAGAGGAAATTTTGCAAAATTCTTGTTGGTTTCTGTACATTTCTACCCTAGTTTGTATATGGACTCCTATAATTAGTGAGGAAACTCCTAGGGTCAGCTGAGGAAAGCGATCATATATTACAACACTGCCTCAGGCTACTTCTATCTACGTCGACCCAGGAAAGTGTTCACAATAGAGCGATTTCCGGTCTCAGACTCGCCCATAATGCAAATAGAAACAATTCATCCAACATGGGATTTTCCTTTTCTATCACAATTTTTTCTACTCTTTCGGAAAATTTCCTGACAAGTTTTCCCCAGCTGTGCATTTTTTTGATACTCTACTGTTCTAAAATTTTTCCTGTGAAATTTCCCCAGCTGTGCATAGTTTGATCTTTTACTTTTCGGAAAATTCTCTGAGAAATTTTCCGGGAAATTTTCCCCAGCTGTGCATACTTTGATACTCTACTTTTCGGAAAATTTTCGGAAAATTTTCGAAAAATTTTCTGGTAAATTTTCCCCAGCTGTGCATACTTTGATATACCATATGGATCCTCCGGCTGAGGCTTGTCCTTCTCCGTAAGAGGCCTCATCTCGGCTCCATCATCAAGATGGTCATTCAATGGCCCAAATACAGCTATTGACGAAGTGAATACAAATGTGTGAACCTACCAACTTCAATTACAGTCAGCGTCGGGGAGGAGGAAATATGCGCATTGTCAACTACATGGGTTGATCGGCACTATTATGTAACTCGACCAGAGGTAAATAATCCTCAGGAAAAGGATAAAGATGCAAAACGGATACAGCTAGGAAGGTCTGGGACGGGGACAAAGCTTTGTGTCTACTTGTGTGATATTGCAGATAACAATATCGAAATTCCCCCATTCGTATGTGAACTCCTATTAGTTTTGAGGAAACTCCTAAGCTCAGCTGAGGAAAGTGAATATATATTTCTGCAACGCTGATTACAGTATCGGGCGAAGCACACCAACCTTATGCCGAATAGCGGCATTCAGAATCTCAACACTTCCAACAAGATTTGTTCTGTAGTTGAAACTTCTCACGAAGTGCGACAGACCCTCCGCAGCGTAAGCAGCCAAATGATAAACATAGTCAAACTTGTATCTAACACGGTAAAATAGGACCCCCCTGGATTCGAACCGGGTACCTTTCGAATAGGCTTTCCATACTCTCTGCATCTCTAACATCACGTCTCAAGAAAGTAACCCCAGCAGGCACATTCGAGGTGAAGCCACCTGTGTAGTGTGAGGGGGATATGCACATGGTCAACTACATGTGTTGGTGATGACAATATGGAAATTATGAGAAAATTTTCGGGGAATTCTTCTTGTTTTCTGTATTACACTTTTACTCAAATTTGTATAATTACTAAGGAAATTTCCGAGCTCAGCTGAGGAGAGCAAGCAAATCACTGCACTATCACTTCACTTCTGACTCTCTGGAGTTTCACGGTCGGCCGTGATATGAAAAAAATATATTTCACGACTACTGCATATCACCGCGAATATCACAGAGTATTACGCCACTTCACGTAAAACGGGTTGTGAAACTCCACTGAGAAAGCCCCGTATCTTTCAAATTTACTTACCACTGAGGTCGTCAATTGCCACAACTTCCATTCCAAGATCACGGCAATGCCTCGCAACGTGTGAGCCGATGAATCCAGCAGCACCCGTTACCAAAACCACCTACATGCAGCATAGCTATCACCCACCGCACCAGCACACAAGGTGTCCCCTCAGCAGCGTCTACATCACTAAAGTGTATTCACACTGTTGCCTTTTAGGGTATTCCTCTGATGCTATTTCGGTAGACTCACAGTACTTCTTCTTTTCTTACCTTTCCTCGAGCGTCTTCTCTCTCAGCCTCAGAAAAAACGTAGGGTTGATAAAGTTCCCCTGTCACGATGATCACTAGCAGGAATAGGAAGTGTTGTAACATTAGTCTGAACTTAGCTGATGACAACTATACAGTAGCGATCAATTACAGAGTAAAATACTCGACTAAGGAGCGTATTTTTTTCTCGGGCAAATTCAAAAAATCTGTGTTTCTCGTTAACGAATAAGAGTTTTGAGCTGAACTTTAACAGGATATACTTATTATCATCATACATCACATGTTGAGTCGAAACGGTCATGTTCGGAACGGTTACTGATATATCAGCACAGTTTTTATTAGTTACAATTTTTCAACCGGATTTTCTAGGGCGAAACTAACGCTATATGGTTCTCTATCATCGCGTTTGTTCCTATAAGACTGCCCTCTCAGTTCACTTCGGTAGTTTTTCCATAGCTTCTTTACAGATTTGCCATCCGTGAATACGAAAACTTAGTGTTATTCAGTGCCACTTCTATAGTCGGTTCTTCACCAGAAATGAGATATTTAACGACTATACACATATTCGAATACATGAAAGCCCAACAGCAACACTCAGGAGCCTTCTGAGGTTAATTCCTCGTGACGTGAAATCAACATGAACAACACACATGTCGGGGAAGACAACATTAAAATTCTGAGTAAAAATTTTGGGAAATTTTTATCAATTAGTATGAAAACTCCTACAATTGCTGAAAAAACTCCTGAGCTCAGGTGAGCAAAGCGAACATATATTCCTTAAACACCGCGTGAAATCCATGATAGTGATCAAAGTCTGACGTATTACGAAAAGTACCTCCTATTAACATGACTCTGAAACTAAACCACCTTGAGTATAATACTAACAATCGCGAATAGTAAGAAAATGATTCTTACGAGAGCATTGAGCTTTGCAGAAACTAACACCAAGTTGTGTATGCAAATTACAACAGATCTACCGGACCGCAGCCGCCGCCGCTGTCGGTGGTAGTAGTAATACTACAGGGCACAGACGAGGACGTATGACTTGTTGTTGGAGTCCCAGGAGAGCATCTGAAGCTCAAGACAAGCATGCCCGACATAGGTACGCGGATGTCCGGAGGGAGAAAACAGAGTAAAAAATTTCGTGAAATTCAGGAAAATCTGAAGATATTCACTTACTAGGTAGCCCCCTCTCCTACTTTATCATCTCGCTGTGGGTACGGAGATCCAAAAGATCGCCACTATCACAAGGCCGGGACTTCACAGGTGAGCAGCAGCAGCAGGAAGAGCTCTCACTCTCAGAGGTATCAATCGCGAAACTTGGCCGAGCCAACCCCTGTATGAAACCTAAAGGGAAGGGAAAGTGCTTGTATTTCGATGAAGAGGTCGTGGAAGCAGAGTACCTTACCATCATCATTAATGGGTGAAACTACAGGGCAGACGCTATCCCTAGATACAATATTCACTCCGTTACTATGGAGGCGATCTGGTGACGATCGGCGACGAATATCTGTATGCACGGAATAACATATCACGACGAGTTTTACGACGCCACTTCACGTAAAACGGGTAGTTGTGAAACTCCATGGATATGAGTGAAATCTCCACGCCGTTATGAATGACAGAAAACATCATTCACACCCTCGCAAGACGATTGAGTAAGTCCTTGCCGCTCTCAATCAATTCTATTAATGCGTCCTAAATTCTACATACAAATACAACTCCATACGTAGTATAAACCAGATGAGGCCGTCGAAACCCGAAACTACTGATATAGCCCTTCCGGGTTCTGCCTCGCACAGGAGACTCTCCCGAGCTACTTGAGGAAACCGATGTCAACGGGCCGCTACCTAGGATGATGACTTCTCTAATCTCATACACACACTCTACGTTCCATTACATCGTCCTTTTTTGTGATAGCCGTTACGCCTTACTATTGGAGAACCGTGTTTTCTGATGATCTCTTCAGCGTCTCTATAACGCTCCATAACTAAGTCCCGAACCTCCGCCGCTTTAGCTCTCATCATTCGCGTAACGCGAGGATCATCATTACTGGTGTAATGATTGAACAACTACACCGAACGATACAAGTAGACGCTTGATTTCGAAGTGATGCTTACCACTAAACGCTGTGTAACGTCGAAGTGGATGCCGACTGAGCATTCTTTCCACAGCTCTTTGCTGCCAGTGGAAGCGAGCGCCTCTAATACCAACAGGCTACAATAGCTCTCCCTCCACGTCGCCGACCGACTTAGTCCCCACGATAAAGGCTAAGAATAACGATCAGAAGGCACAGGTTCAAACCGCGGTACCTCCATCATAGCCTCTCTACAGCGTCTACCCTCATAAGAAGCCCTGCATATCTCCTCGAGATCTTTCTTCATCTTGAGCGAGCCAATACCCTCCAGAAAGCCCATGTGCTCCTCGCAACGAATAAGCCGCCGAACTACCTACAGAAACATCATGATACAAGTCTGACACCGCGGCTCGAACAAAACTAGGTCTATTAGCAGTGTTAACCACCCTAGCTGTGAACAAGGACATGACGACTTTATCACATACACTGAGACACAGTGTGTAGGGGGGGACATGCACATGGTCAACCACATATGTTGGTGACAATATGGAAATTCTGAGGAAATTTTGCAAAATTCTTGTTGCTTTCTGTACATTTCTACCCTAGTTCGTATATGAACTCCTATAATGAGTGAGGAAACTCCTAGGGTCAGCTGAGGAAAGCGAACATATATTACAACACTGTCCGAGTCGGGCGAAATCTCAAGAGAGCGTATTACTACCTCAGCCGCTTCTTCAGTGTCACTAGTAACCTCAGTAGTGGATGAAATAATTCGGGTTACCGGCCGCAGAATGTCAGCCACTGTACCCGAAAAGGTTCGAGATGTACGTGCTGAACTTGAAGACATTTAATAACAAAAACCGTACATAGAGAGAGAACTCGCTAACGTATGACAGAATAACTCGGCCTAGGTTCACAGCGGACCCAATCCGTATCTTACGCACAGGGAAGATTCCTATTAGAATTGCAGCACATGATTTAGTAAATAGTAGAGGTCGACAGCGGACCTAATCCGTATCTTACGCACGGGGAAGATTCCTATTAGAATTGCAACACATGACTTAGTGAATAGTAGAGGTCTACAGCGGACCTAATCCGTATCTTACGCACAGGTAAGATTCCTATTAGAATTGCAACACATGACTTAGTGAATAGTAGAGGTCTACAGCGGACCTAATCCGTATCTTACGCACAGGTAAGATTCCTATTAGAATTGCAGCACATGATTTAGTGAATAGTAGAGGTCGACAGCGGAGCTAATCCGTATCTTACGCACAGGGAAGATTCCTATTCGAGTAAAGGGGGATTGGCAAATGGGGTCGCTATGCCAGAGCACTAGGATTTCATACAGGCAAAGAGAGATATTCACTCGACATCGAATAATTGCCATAATTCCGGACCCGTGGGCATAACGGCCCCATTCGATTTCTAAATAATGTAGTTAATATTTCTCAACAGAATTAACAATCTACCAAAGGCATATATTTGTCCTTCGGAACTCCCTGAATGGGGCAGCTATGCCACTTCAAGATATGCTCTACCACGATCAACTTTTGCGGGTGGAGCGGCTATGCCACTTCAAGATATGCTCTACCACGATCAACTTTCCCGGGTGGGGCAGCTATGCCACTTCAAGATATGCTCTACCACGATCAACATTTTTTCGAATGGGGCAGCTATGCCATCCCAAGAAATGCATCAATACAACCCATTTTCCAGCCACATATCATAGGACGACGAGTTCCACCGGAGCAACCGCATCATGCCCAATTTAGGCGAATTACAGAATTAGATTTGCTGTTAGAAGGCCGAATCCATTTTGGGGCAGATATGCCGTTGCTGCCACTCGACAGGCATCCACAGGTAAAAGATTCCAGGGCAATTCCACCTCGTCAAAAGAGGCTTGGAAATGCAGTCTGTTGTTGGGGTTGTCGTTGCAGTAGACGAGACAGGGCAGGCGTCTCCTCACAAGGCGGATGCAAGATGCTCTTGTCTCGAAGCATAGGTCTGTTCCACTACGCTTGAGCTGTGATGATGAAGTACGTTACTCCGATGCGTAGTTGACTGGCTTGGCCACACTGACTACACCTTTCTGGAGCGCTTGTGACACACTCGTTTCGATTCGATTTTTGTGGCGCGTTGCAACTTGCAAGTGCCCCGTCCCTCAGTGTGACTACATTTAATGCAATGCTTATCAGGTTGGAACACTAGCACAGTATTTGAGAACGTCGGTGTTCCTTCATGTCCTACCAGGCCGTATACGTGTGTTACCACTCCTTTTATCAATGCAACCCCATGTTCCATCACCCATCATAGGCCAAGGATTCATCCCCAAGGCGCACTGCATGAGGATACAAGAACACATCTGGCGAAAGGCCTTGCCCATCCTTGAACTTGTCCTTGGTGAGCCAAGCCACCCGACTCTCTCTCCTCAAGTCACTCACGTTGAGTGCCTGTGAGGCAGTTGACTACTCTTACATCCTCTGTAGATAAGGAGCGTTCCATGCAGCATTGAATGCTCACTGTTTCTTAACTGCATTCATTTTCCGGTATTCGCTCAATCGCCAAATCATGTTCGATCGTTAGCGTGTCATATTTCATCACAGCTTGTTACGGTATTGAGCCGATTCTTAGTTTTCAACTCAGATTGAAGAAAATCTCCCTCGTGAACTGAACTACTTCCTTTTTCAGTTGATGATCCATCGCCACCGCCCGAGGCTTGGGAGATAATAGTAGGTTAATGAGGCTATGCTGAGGAACTACACGAACGACAGGTACATTCAACTTTACTGCAAGTGGCTAGACATGAGATTGACCGAAAATCCAAAGACCTCTGCTTTACAGAAGTCTCTATTCTTCACGAAATGTGCAACTACGCCCGTGAACAGATGGTAATGGTTGTGAACAGAAGTCGCGTAACACGTACCCCCGGGTGGAATTCAGATGAACTCAACAGCGCTGCCGAACTATACGCTTCCTGTCCGTCCATTCCGTCCTTGCCGATTTACTTCACGTTTTCTCGGTGACCACCGACGTTTGTCTCATCAGCGGCGCTCATACACAAACAAGCAGGTGAGTTCGATAATAGGTCAACCGTCAGTCTGACTGTGAGGCGGAGTAGCGCTTGATAATAATTTCTTTCATGTCGCTGTATGAATTATCATAAATTATAACAGTACAAGTGGCCTTGATAGACTCGTAAGTTTTGATCTCAAATGACACCGTTGTGGCCATCACGACATCCTACTGTTTTAAACCATGTGCCCGGCACGACGATACAGCCTGCAAGTAGATGATTGGAGAAGTTGTAACAACGTAAATCCCATAGTTGCTCGAGAAAAGGCCTTCAGCATTCGTAGGCTCCTACATCATGCGATAGAATGATTCTAGAAAATGTCTAATTTGTAAGGACTTCATATGCGGATGTCTGTGATCATTATGGGGAATTTTAGTTCGAATGTGTTCAGATCCAACCGGAGCCGTTGATATTAACAGAACTCAAGTATCTACGGGGACTCCTTTCTGAAGTGGGTTCACCTAGACAGAGTCGTCACACTGTTATTGGGTTTCATCTAGGCCATAGAGAGCAGCCAAGATGAACCCAAGTCAATCGAGGCGACTCAACCTTCAATTCTTGCAAGGAAGGTAACATCACATTCACTATGTTGACCGGTCATCCACCTTCGAGTGGTTTGGTCTTATTCATCTGTAGAGGCCTATGATAGCCACTCACTGTGATGATACGTTGCGCTTCTTCCAAAGACGGCCGATTGTGAGTGGTCCACGATCAGGTTTTGGCTCAAGTTTATGCTGTCACTCCTTTATATTAGTGTTGATGGCAACTATCATGCCTTACTGCCTTTGATGCCTGTCGTTGAATGCCCATATTTTGTTGGAGTTACTCCAGTAACAACTTGAATGCATGCAGCTATACTGCACCGGTCACAGGGAAGAACATAATACAGTCAAGACAGTCGAGCAACTCACCGATGTTCCTGAATCACTATATCGATTTTCTACAGATGATCCCACTACATCTACGACTCAATTCAGCAACCCGAACGCCTGTACGACAATCTAATGTTCCGATTCTACCTTGGCAACCGTAGTACCCTATGCTACGCTGCCATCGAATCATCGTCCACGGTCAGGACTTACAACACAAGACGGAAACATCAGAAACACTTTTCCACACTCATGGGTGATCAGCGTAGCGCCTCAGTAGCCTTCTGAATCTTGCTCTGTTCTTCTTCAGTGAACGGCGTGTCATCCGGTCGGGTCATCATTAATTCTCTTAGCATGGTCCGCAGCTGATCAGAAAATGGAATCGATGACTTAGTCGACCCCAGTCCAACGCTAACTACAAACTACGGTGTTATCGTAGCATCTCATGCTGCAAGACGTAACGCAAAAATGTAAATGAAACAGCTGTGTATGTGTATGCAAAAACAATTTAACGCAAAATCCGATAAACACGCGATTTCTGAATGACCGATGAAACGATGTCATCACCGTAACAGGACTGAGGCGAGGTTGAAGGGACTCCCAGCAACAGACAATAACATGACCACTCATAGACCCATGAAGATGAGCTGCATGCTCTACGAGATGATTCCCTTGCAATCAGAGTAGGTACCAGTGTGACTGAAGGATCCTGCTTCCTCCTACTATTATTAACTCCTCTTCTGACACGCCATGCCATGGCCTCGGACGTATCGATCAACAGTGATCGGTCAGTTTCCTGCTAGAGATGACCGCCGCGTCATGTAATTCCAATTCTTACAGTGAGGTCCCTTTCCATTAGATGAGCTGCAATCTTAGACATGAGCATTTCTACTGCTTCTATTGCCACTAACGGCCCGCCTTCTGCGTATTTATATAGACCTGCCAACCACACAGAGGATGAGCCCTTGGAAAATGGTTCGCAATAAAAAATGAAGCCAACGGTCACCAATGAAATTACGGCTAGTAGAAGCTGAATGTCATTCCACAATCAAGGGCCGCAGCCCTGCAAGAAAATATAAAAAAAGATCGAAAAATTCAAAAAATTACGACAATTATGAATAAACAGCAGATATATGAGTATTTCCAACCACTGAAGCTTTTCCCATGTATTACTTCTGGCAAGTTTGCATAAACCATCCACTCGGAAATCATCGCGATTGACTAGCAGAAGCTCAACTTGATCCAAGATACGTCGCTCGTATCTTCGGAAACAAAAATGTCATCCTCACCCGACTCGCATCTTCAACCTTTCATTCTTGAATTTGTCATTGATGAACCCTTCCAGAGCAATACTGCAGTCATGTATAGCAAACATCGGCAACCGACGATCCAAACGGCCGAGGAAGGTGGCCACAAAATGCGAGTCGTACCTAGTACTCAGGGTCAGCTACTGAGATCTACTTCTACGTCGGCACAGTCTCCACGCATAGCACTCCTCAAAATCATATAATCCAACTCGTCGAGTTACAATTACGCTCGAATCGTAAACGGACAATTCCAAGCTACTCCCGCTACTACCAATCTCTTTGACTAACAGCTCTCCATATGTAGCATATCTCCGGCTCAGTCGACTGGCACGCTAGATGCTGTGCCCGCCACACCAGCTTGTTCCAGATACCGGGTGCTCCTATGTCATCCTTCAGACACTTTGCCATAATGATGGCCACAGTGGGGGCTATAGCAAACGTTATGATCCAGGACGGAGCATGAGCTACTTACCATCCATCTTCTCAGCGTATAACTCTCCTCCACGCAGCTCAATTTTAGCAACATCAGGAAAGCCCATGAATGTGGGCGGAGCGACACGGCGTTCTCGCCACCACTCTTTATTCGGATGTAAGTTGCCCATTCTGAAGACAGAGATGAGATAGGAGGGACGACAGTTCACTCAAGAGCCGATTCGGCTCAGCCAAACAGTGATGCTAGACTCTGCTACTGGCAAGCAACTCTTCCAGCGGATGAAGGATTCTACCACATACTCCCTCTGTGGATGGAATGCAATACACGTCATTTATACTATAACCGTTACTACATCCCCCATACTAGTCAGGCTACTTATGCATCAATGCAGAAACCAAACGATTATGGTGGTGTAAAAACGTCCAATGAAGACCACCGTTTGGTAGGAATGTCACAATAGGTAGTGAGCTCTTCCAGGGGCTGCTATGCCACCCCACGATTTACCTTAATACAACCTATTCCTCTATGGGGCAGTTATGCCACCCCACGATTTACCTTAATACAACCTATTCCTCTATGGGGCAGTTATGCCACCCCAAGATTTACCTTAATACAACCTATTCCTCTATGGGGCAGTTATGCCACCCCAAGATATACCTTACTACAACCTATTCCTCTATGGGGCAGCTATGCCACCCCAGGATATACCTTAGTACAACCTATTCCTCTATGGGGCAGCTATGCCACCCCAAGATATACCTTACTACAACTTATTCCTCTATGGGGCAGCTATGCCACATGTCTAGATAGCTCACAAAGATATCATAGATACATTCACTCACGAGAGTTACCCTCCCATCAGATTATTACGTGAATCTATCAGTTAACGGTCGAGGTGTCCGCAACTTGAGGTGCTGCTTAGACCAGCTCTTACGCCCTGGGGGGGTGTACGGGTGAGCTCGGATACCGTATAAGGCCACTGAGGACTGACGCAACATTGGTAGTGGATAAGGAACTGGAAAGCATTTCCCACTAGTGACAAGAGAAGGAAAGCTGTACCAACTTACAGTAAACTAAGTCTATCGACATTTATATGATTCCACGTGTGAATCAAGTTTCAGACTAGATTTATTGAGAATTAGCCAAGTCTGATACTCCAAATCAACCACGGGAAGAATCCTACGTGTAAAATGCGGCTCCAAAATCGCTCCAGAGTTCCAAAACCGGCTCATTGAGCCTTTCCTTAGTATTTACTCACAATCGGCAACAATTCTAGTCGATAACTCCGCTCCCAGAATTACGAGCTCAGAGCCGACAATAGACATGTAAGCCACATAACACGGCCGAGGTGTTTCTACCCAAACGCTCTGTAAGGATTAGACTATGGCCTCACGTGACATAGTCATGAAATTGTGCGCAGCACGGGAATTTATCGAGCTCAAAATTGTGCATTAGTTGGCGCATAATGTAGGAGCCTATAAGGAGTTTACGATTCCCAAGCGACTAGTGAGGACACTAATTCTTCCAATGACATGGTTAATGAGTATCCCCCCACTACAGCACAATTGCACGCATGCGTTAAAAGATTCACGCCGCAATCTGAAGAGGCGCGTTGAATAGACCTCTCCTGAGCTTCAATAGCGCTCATTCCGGGATTGCATTCAACATCTGAAACTCGATTGTAAATGTTCCTACTTGAGGTAAATCGTTGATTGCGAGTAGGACTAACAATGTCGCCTGCTGATCACCACAACGAAGGGTCGCAAGACCCCGTCCCATCGGCCCCTCCAGAACAGCCACAACAACAACAGGGGGGAACTGCTGGAGTTGATGCATCCACTCAGAGCAGGTATGTGCATAATTTCATTGAGTTTTGATATTCCATAGAAACTGCAATTTCATCTTTTTTGTGTAGGTGTCCTCTGCTGCCGTTAAGTAACGCTCCTCAGCAGATGGAAATGATCGACCCTCCGCGAGGCCCGTAAAACAACTTGTATAATATTTTCTATCACACTGAAGTTTCACCACCCGTTTTACGTGAAGTGGCGTCGTAAAACTCGGTAAAAAACGCGATATTCGCGGTGATATGCAGTAGTCGTGAAATATGTTTCCCACTAGTGTTTTCCATATCACTAGGGTGGTAAAGGAACTCCATTATTCTCAGATACTACAACACAGCAGTAGAGCAAGCATTCACCAACAGTCCGTGGTCGGACGGTTTATGCGACTGCTTCTCAGATCAGAGCTCTTGCCTATTAATGGTACTCGTTCCACTCTGGCCAGTAGGTCATCGATCAATCTATTCTTGATGATAATTATGCACTCAAGGTGTTGATGCACCAAATTCTCACCAGAGCTCAACCTCGTGACGAGCCGTATCCTCTGGGGCTCCCCTCGCCAGCAGCGGTGTCCTGGGTGTAAGTTCAACTGAATTTCTCGGAAAAATTTTTATTTTTGTCCTACTCTTACAACAATGAGCTTCGGTGACCGCATTTTTTTATCCTATTTATATTTTTTCCCTGTAGTATTTGAAGAAGATATTATGCATAGTTCTAGATGTGAACTATGCATAAAGTTGGACAACTCTTAAGGGCATATTATGTATACTTCTAGATGGGAACTCCTTGTAAAGTTGGACAACTTTCAAGGGCATATTATGTATACTTCTAGATGTGAACTCCTTGTAAAGTTGGACAACTTTTAAGGGCATATTATGTATACTTCTAGATGTGAACTCCTTGTAAAGTTGGACAACTTTCAAGGGCATATTATGTATACTTCTAGATGTGAACTCCTTGTAAAGTTGGACAACTTTTAAGGGCATATTATGTATACTTCTAGATGTGAACTCCTTGTAAAGTTGGACAACTCTTAAGGGGATATTATGTATACTTCTAGATGTGAACTCCTTGTAAAGTTGGACAACTTTTAAGGGCATATTATGCATAGTTCTAGATGTGAACTATGCATAAAGTTGGACAACTCTTAAGGGGATATTATGTATACTTCTAGATGTGAACTCCTTGTAAAGTTGGACAACTGTTAGCGATGTGCGACTCGCTCTTCATGCGTTGTCCGTTCAGTTTGAAGTGAACTCGCCTAAAGGGGTAATCTACCTTGAAAATCTACATATGCATAACTGTTTGGTCCGCACTGTATATTACTGTACTAATTCACTATTAGTAAAGTATCTCCCTCAGGTATGCTGTGGCGGTGATTGCTGGTCTTCTGGACATCCCTGGCCTCAACTTCGCAGGATGGGTTGTATCAGTCTATCTCATGTAGCATCTACTGGGGAAATCTATTATTGTTCAATAATGGAGTTTCTTGACCCTAGTGATATGGAAAACACTAGCGAAAAACATATTTTATAAACACATGTGAGCAGTGAATAACGCGTAAAACACGTGAAATGCTGTGGGGTTTTCACCCCCACTGGGGTGCTCTCTCCGATGTAATTCGCCACTTCATATCGCGTTCTTCACACGGAGTATTACGCCACTTTGTGTAGAACGAGTGAAACTTCAATGATGATGAGTTTACATATTCCCCTCGATATTAATAAGGATAATAATGTTAACCCTATCTATTCATAAAGATTTGTATACCATTTATAATATCTACGAGTTACCATGGTATATTATTATTTATAATCATCACATTATATTTGATGAATCTCCCGCACTGTATGGTTATCGAATTTAGTTGATAAAGAGCCCTGTCGTATCTCTATGGTTGCAATAATGGAGTTTCTTGACCCTAGTGATGTGAAAAAAATGTTTTCACGACTATTGCAAGGCGCGAATATCGCGTTTTTCACGGAGTTTTACGACGCCACTTCACGTAAAACGGGTAGTTGTGAAACTCCAATAATAAAATGCCTACAAGTGATGAAGTGTTATTGTTTATTCAATTTCCTATCCGTCTTATACACCGCTGAATTCTACTTTATGTGTTGACTACCATTCCTTGCATTAGTAGTTCTCAAGGAGTGGTATGACCATTTTCAGGTACGACGCCGCACGAACTGTGGTGCGGTTCTACAACATTCAGGACCCGGAGAGATCTACTCCAGTGTGGCTAGTTGTAATACAGGGATGTACTGTTGGTTACTATATTAAGATTGCGCATAACGCAGTACTACTACTCGCATGTTATCGCTACTATAGTTGTTTGGAGTATCGCTGCCTTAGTCTTAGACTATAGATGAAATTAGTGATAATAACAAAGTTAAAATAGCAGAATGTGGATGATCGTGTCAATGGGGAATTAAGGCTCTCTAGTATGAGAGCGTATTTTTTATTGGAATATATGTCTGGTTTCCTCAGCTCTCACTACATTATGAAGATCCTCACACGATCTTGGATAGAAATTTACGCAAAAAACCGATGATTTTCACATTGTTACCAACGCATGTAGTTGACCATGTGCATATATCCGCCCCCCCCACCAGCAGTCCGTTTGTTCAGGTGAAGTCATCATTCTGTCAATGTTGTCTTCTCGGGCAAGTGGCACGTCACGTGAATCGAGCTACGGGTTTCGCTCAATCTCAAGTGCTTATCCACCATGATCTACCGCAACCCGAGGTGAATTTCGTGGCGCGCGGTAATTTTATATTTGTGATTTCAGGTTAATAGGGAACCGCGTGATTTGGAGAGAGCTGAATAGATAATTTTGAGGGATGCAATAGAAATTGTTCATATTTAAATATCATGCTCACCCGTCGGTCCTCGCTAGCATGCGAGTTCGTCTCATCTTAGCTCAACTTTTCCACGATTTTGAGTCGTTCTGTTTGAGTTGGCATAAGAAGGGAAGGCTTTCTTTTACAGATGGCGTGGAATTCATAAGCCTGCTTGTTTTGTGAATCGCGAATGATCGATGTAAAGAAATTCGCATGACATTTTAAATTGCGATCCAGTGGTATTGCCGTATCACTGAGAATGGCGGTGAAATGTCAGTGAAGAAAATCTCCATTGAAGAGGTTTCCCTCGAAAATAGACCACAGTCAGTTCATGGTCGCAGTGCTCGCGGACAAGCGTTATGGGGTTTACTAAACCCCCTCACAAAATAATAGAACATACAGTATTTTTTCGATTTCTTTGTTATTACTGCGACTCAGGTTGTGAGATTCCGTGTGTGAGGGTATCACTAATGTAGGAACAAAAATATATCAGAGTCGTATCATTATTCGCTCGCTTTAGTAAAATTTCTGAAACGGTCAATTTTTCCGCGCTTTCAAAAAAATACAACACCATCTCTATAGAAACCCAGGACGAAATAGCGTTCTCCAGGGTTTGATAACAATGGGGAAAGTGTTCCCAATGTGATGACATTCACACCACAAGCTGATTGAAGAATGTTCCGTGAGAAATACAAAATAGGTTCCTGGATGATTCTCTGATAGTGGAATATGGCTTTGGTGTACTTAGATTAGCTAAGGAGTATATAAGACATTCCGCGTGATATCTGCGCACGTCCTTGGTTAAATTGAACTCCTAAACTTCTCGGGTGTAATATTAACTTTCTTGCTATTTTAGCAGAAGCACGGGATGAATGTTGACTAAACGAATAGTTGAAAATTGTCGATAATTTAATTACCATTACCAATTATTTGACCTGAAAATGTCAACACTTTCTGTGTAACACAGTGAACTAGGTGTAGGGGAAAATTGAGTTTCAGTCACTCGGTTGGGTTGAAAAATCCATAGTTTGCGTGGTACGACGTAAAACTTTGTAAAGTTTTTCATATTCACATAAATTCATTTCTGATGCAAATTCGAGCAACTGTTTTATTTTTGTCACAAGACGATCTCGAGGTATATGTTATTAATAAATTCATCAGCGTTAGGATATCTCTCCAAGTGGGGAGAGCTCGTGGGGTCGATCCCTGGATGGCGGGTATCGTCGAGAAAATGAGAAAGCGGTCTATGGGTGTAGTGGAGTCTAGCGGAGCGACGCACATATGAGTGTCTGATCTGTATTAGCTGCGGCGTACGCATGCGCATTCATCAGTCCCGTCTCGAGTGATACCGTATCAGCAGTCCTTATCGCCTTGCGTTCACAGTGGGCATTCCCGAGCGGTCACAACAATGGGGTATCTTTTTAAAAGATTCGTTACGAATTTGTGAATATGTATTGACTATTGTCGCCCTCGAGCTCGTCAGAAAACACATGACTGGAATGCCCAGTTGGGACCAGATTTGCTCTATCACTTGGTTTCCCTCGGAGATTTCGTTTTCCGATTGCGCTGAGTTTTGGTTATGTTCAATTAGAGATGGGGTTTGATACGGACAACTCTCGTCAACGAATCAAACGATGAGCCCCAAAGTCTCAACGACTCTGAAGGCCGCCAATAAACGTATCTTAACTTCATTGTGGCGAAAAGTATGTCAGAAGTGGTCAAGTTATTCACCGCTACAGCAACACTAGGTAGACTTTAGTTTTCTCTCAGCGTAGGAATAGTCGATTCACCATCATCATCCATCCTAACTACACTCAAACCCTCCACATTATAATAGAAACCTCATTAGCCTCACAACATGACATCTAACAAATTCGATCAACTATCAGGAAACTCCTCTCCATTAATAATAGATGATACCATCCTTTCGAATTCATCAGCGCTCGGCTCGCCAGAAAACCGCGGCCATTGCTTTTCTTCATCATCACAACTTCCCCAAACCTCCTCAATTTCCTTGTCGACCTCCGAGACCCCCGGTTCGATCCCCGGTGGCGGAATTTCTTCATCGCCATCTTCTGATTTAACTTCATCCTCATATTTCTTCATTGGAATGTCCGGTTCTAGCTCAATTAGAGGTGGTCTTTCATCAACACTAACTCCAACAGCGGATCTGACGACACATAAGCTCTACAAAAAAGTTTTTTGTAGAGCTTTAGCAAGCTCTACTTATTCCTTGTATAGCTTTTTGATGACTTTTTTTGTGAGTTTTCCGGTTTTTTGAAAAAACAGGATCTGTTCGATGCACTACGTCGGCTCACAGTTTAGGAGGAACACATGTTCGCTTTCCTCATCAGCTGAGCTCAGAAAATATGAATTTGGGTAGAAGTGTAATACAGAACCAATAAGAATTTCCTCTCAGAATTTTAATATTATCACAAACTGTTACTATTACTTCCCATCAGTGTTGGAGTAGTAGGAATATATGTAATCGCTTTCCTCATCAGCTGCTGAGCTCAGAAGAGTTTATATACGAATTCGAGTAGAAGTGTAATACAGAAACCAACGAGAATTTCCTCTCAGAATTTTCCTATTTTTCCCCACACTCACCTCTCGCGATGGGACTTCGTTCGAAGGTGTTGTCGTATTTCCCACGGCGACGCCAAAGTGACGTTGCAACGGCAACCTAGGTAAAAATTTCAGTCGTGGGGCACAAATAATACTTGTAATACCATAATTCGACCAAATCGCGATAACTTTTAATAGCCGACGAGTTATGATATATATTACATATCTCTAGAGAACATCATTCTCACGTTTTTATCAACCACATTTGAAAATTCATGAGTAACGACTCACAATAGTTAGCTCCAGCAGCTTCCCCTTTAGTTAAATAAGAGATGTCCTCAACTTTCATATCATCAAATTTCGGCAAAAACTCCTCCTTGGAAACCTCTTTAGCCGGGAAACTGAGAAAATGAAAAATTCAACCCAATACTCCGTAAAAACTACAATCAATGTGAATGTTATATCAATTTAGGAGGAAATTCTGCAGTTTTAAGGGAAAATATTAAAATTCCCAGAGAATTATTGTTAGTTTTTGCACTACACTTCTACCCAAATTCGTATGCGAGGAAACTCCCGAGCTGAGCTGATGAGGAAATCCAACACTGCTTACTGCCATCCAGATTTGTAATAGAGTCTCGGGTCTTGACCAACTTCGTCACACCAGTCGTGATACATTAAATTAGACTGACATTATCAACTTCAAACCATCTGCAGTGCGATGCAAACCTACCCGATGAGCGTTTATACCCGTGTGAAAATGTACCGCTTCCGGAGTTTTTAAATGTGCGTCACAACAACTACACCAGAAGCTGAAAAATGGAAATACAATTTGCGATTCGCTGAAAACATGAACGATAAAATTCCTATATATTATTAATTGGAGTTTCACCCTAGTGATATGAAAAAAAAATTGCGAAAAATATATTTCACGACTACTGCATATCACCGCTTCACATAAAACGGGTGAAACTCCATTGTAATACGTACAATGCAATAATATACTATAGTATTGTATTGAAGTAGTAATACTAGGTCTTCGTAACGCAGGGGCGGAGTTCGCTCTATCCGCGTTTAGTGACTCGATCAACAAATTCGACATATCTCTTCGGTTCGATCCCCGGGTCGGACATTTTTCCGTCAAAAAAGTTTCGAGAAATCGAGTTTTTCGATTTTTGCGCAAACCTCGGCATATAAAGGAGTCGTTTTAATGTATCTACTGGACTCCTACGCTTTCTAGTTATTTTCTGCACGCATGCACAACGCGAAAGCGCCTGTTGTTGCGGTATATGCTCCACCCGCTACGCTCGCTCCGAAATTGATATAAATGTAATTCACTGGAGTTTCACCCGTTTTACGTGAAGTGGCGTAAAACTCGGTGAAAAACGCGATATTCGCGGTGATATGCAATAGTCGTGAAATGTGTTCCCCACTAGTGTTTATGCATATCACTAGGGTCAAGAAACTCCACTGCTATCTATGTTACATGTAAAAACATGATAAAATTCGATAAAATTTTAATTTTTTCGTTTTAGTAAATTTAAAACATTTGTTAGATAATTATATATTCACCACAGCAGCGACCAAACCTACTGCCTGGGGTAACCATTAGCACTGATCGCTAGTTTGATTCGATGGGATTTAATTTTATCGATTTCCTTGTTGAACGCCTCGCATATTCCAAACCTTTTCCGCAACTTTTCCCGTTGAGTCAAATGCACCTAAAATTTTGTGGAAAAAATATTAATTATTGATATTGGAGTTTCACAACCCATTTTACGTAAAGTGGCGTAAAACTCCGTGAAAAAACGCGATATTCGCGGTGATATGCAATACTCGTGAAATATGTTTTTCACTAGTGTTTCTCATATCACTAGAATAAAACTCCATTATACGATAAATTAAGATGATCAATTATCGTTAATTACATATTTCAAGGAAAATTACCAAAAATTACAAGGATGAAAAATAAACTCATAGAATTCTTCAAACTACGAAGGGAAAAAACCAAAAATTACACGAAATTACCAAAAATCCCGAGCAAAAAATACCAAAAAAATATCATAAATTACTATACCGGGTCACTCCGATGCTCCGCTTCAATATCTCGCAGCATATTGTCGCCTGCCATACCAAAAATTGGAAAATTCTCACCAAAATTCCCTCTCTTACTAATTCCTGCAGTTTCCACGAATACATCACATATGTTACATAGAATTGAATCTTCCAAAACACCTATCGAGAAAAAAGAAGAGAAATGCCGACGCCGGGAATCGAACGCGATAATGTTATGCCAGTTAGGAGGGTTGATAGACATGGACTCAACGCGTGAGAAAGGCGGCTTAAATCCATATATTTCATGTTGGAATCGCTCGTCTCGAGCACAGCGGAGCGAAGCGTTCCACGATGTGCATCAGTTGAATCGAAGTGAAGTTTCACCCGTTTTCTATGAAATGGCGTAAAACTCCATGTGAAAAAAACGCATTGAAAAAAAAAACATTTTTTCGTGAAATTTGAAATATGTTTTTCACTAGTGGTTTTCATATCACGATTGAATTTCCATGTGATAGTAACTATTAATGCTACTACTTCACAAATCACAACCTACTGGCAAAAATTATAAAATTAGTATATGTTTAAATTAACGTTATTAATGTTATAATTAATTAAATTATATTAAATGTAGGAAATTTTCATATCACATATTAAACTCTCATAAAACCATGGAGTTTCACCCTAGTGATACGAAAAACATATTTCACGACTATAGCATATCACCGCGAATATCGCCTTCTTCACCGACTTCTACGCCACTTCACGTAAAACGAATTGTGAAACTCCAATACAAACTCATCCTCCAAAAATCTCACTTATTTCTTCCTCCGGAATTTTTTCCACAATTTTTTCTCCCAAAACGATGCAAATTGGTTTAACCTCTACCAACCACGTGTTCGCTTCTTCCGACCAATTTCCACTATATTTCACTCCGAATTCTCCATGTAGAATCTCCGCTTCACATCTGCGTTGAGGAAATGCAAGTGAGAGCAAGATTGCAAGATTTACAATGGTGTCACTCGCGGAAATTTAGCTCGCATTTTGGTGATATCATCATCATCCCGAAATCGTTTATTAGGATTTCCGTCCGGCTGAGAATATCTCCACTCGCGAGTAGATTCCCTAAAGTAGAGGAAATAGTAATTATAAACAAATGCAGCGGAGTTACTTCACCACCCTAGTGATATGAAAAACACTAGTGAGAAATATATTTCACGACTACTGCATATCACCGCGAATAATATCGCAGAGTACTACGCCACTTCACGTAAAACGGGTTGTGAAACTCCAGTGTTTGAGAAATTCTTATTGGTTTATTACGTACTTGCCGCATCCTTGTTATGTAACGAAACGATAGTAAAAGAGTACGAATAGATATCGTCCAGAGAGCAGATACAGTATCAGAAAAATGGCAAGAGTAACTCAATAGGGCATCCAGTGTTTTCAGAGTTACACATTGGAGTTTCACAACTACCCGTTTCACGTGAAGTGGTGAAAAATGCGGTATTCAACGCGGTGATATGCAGTAGTCGTGAAATATGTTTTTCACTAGTGTTTTTCATATCACTAGGGCCACCCGTGAAAACATATTTCACTCCGCGAAAAACGCATGTGAGCAGTGAATAACGCGTAAGACACGTGATGTGTGGTTTTTCATGTGATACGGGGTGATTTGCCAAGTGTTTTCAATTCGCCACTTCATATCGCGCTTTTCATATGGAGTATTACGACGCCACTTCACGTAGTAAAACGGGTAGTCGTGAAACTCCAATATATAAGGAACTCATATATTGGAGTTTTACTAACCACCCGATCATACTACGAATGAGCAGCTCTCGAATCGCCTACATACTTCTACTCGAATTCGCATGCACTATATAACCACTAATATCAGCTCTACTATGGAAGAATATATGTTTACATCACCAACTATACAAATTCGGGTAGTAGAAATGTGGAGACACCAATGAGAATTTCCTCAAAATTTCCTACTAGAATTGCCTTTTTTTCTTACCGTCTTCTCATCGCATCAGGATTTGGAATTAGTTGAGTTATTCTTTCACGACGACTAGCCATAAACTCCTCGGGGGTCCTCCCATAAGGATGTATGCTTCTATCGGTGCATATAGACCGTAGATGATCGTACGAGTTGCTCGAGGAATGGTATGAGCGCCTGATTAGAGCAAAACTGCCAAGTGAACTTCACTCGAAATCGACCTTTATCATTTGAGGTGGTGACGGGTGACACGATGAATCTTGCAAAAAAAAAAGAAAAAACAAAAAAAAACAATTACGAAACACTCATACAGTGGAGTTTCACAACTACCCGTTTTACGTGAAGTGGCGTAAAACTCCGTGAAAAACGCGATATTTGCGGTGAGATGCAGTAGTCGTGAAATATGTTTTTCACTAGTGTTTTTCATATCACTAGGGTCAAGAAACTCCATTGCTATTCTGTATTACACTTCTACCCGAATTCATATGTAAACTCTTCTGAGGTCAGCAGCTGATGAGGAAAGCGATTACATATATTCCTACTACTCCAACACTGATGGGAAGTAGTAGTAACAGTTTGTGATAATATTAAAATTCTGAGAGGAAATTCTTATTGGTTTCTGTATTACACTTCTACCCAAATTCATATATAAACTCTTCTGAGCTCAGCAGCTGATGAGGAAAGCGATTACATATATTCCTACTACTCCAACACTGATGGGAAGTAGTAGTAACAGTTTGTGATAATATTAAAATTCTGAGAGGAAATTCTTATTGGTTTCTGTATTACACTTCTACCCAAATTCATATATAAACTCTTCTGAGCACAGCAGCTGATGAGGAAAGCGATTACATATATTCCTACTACTCCAACACTGATGGGAAGTAGTAGTAACAGTTTGTGATAATATTAAAATTCTGAGAGGAAATTCTTATTGGTTTCTGTATTACACTTCTACCCAAATTCATATATAAACTCTTCTGAGCTCAGCAGCTGATGAGGAAAGCGATTACATATATTCCTACTACTCCAACACTGATGGGAAGTAGTAGTAACAGTTTGTGATAATATTAAAATTCTGAGAGGAAATTCTTATTGGTTTCTGTATTACACTTCTACCCAAATTCATATATAAACTCTTCTGAGCTCAGCAGCTGATGAGGAAAGCGATTACATATATTCCTACTACTCCAACACGCGTTAGTTCATACTCTCGATAAGAAGTCGCCTCATGCTCTTGCTCAAGCTGTGTGCGAGTTGGTGGTGTATTAACTCCCCCGAACGAATCAAAATCCGTAGCACTACTGCTAATTTCCGATCTGAAAAAAATAGTGTTGGTGTTGACAATATGGAAATTCGCACCCGAATTCACACGTCAGCTGATGAGAAAAGCGAACATATATTCCTCCAGCATGGAAATTCGGAATTTCGAAATTAGTTCACTAAACAGTTAAGGAAAATATGCACATGGTCAACTACATGTGTTGGTGATAATATGAAATTTGGCGAAATTTTTCTACCCGAATTCATATTTAAACTCATATAGAAAAGCGAAGATATATTCCTCCAAAACTGCGCACAGGAATATTTCATTTTTCATCACATGAGTGAAAAAATAAATTATATTTTATGTGTAATGAGTATATTCATTTTTGCATTACCGCGAGGATGACGCTGGAGTGAGTCGCACAGATCGGACGAATCTGGAAAAAAATAAAACGATCATAAAACAATAAAATTATCGAAAAAATATAAAAAATGATGGAGTTTCTTGACCCTAGTGATATGAAAAACGTATTTCACGACTACTGCATATCGTCGCGAATATCGCGTTTTTCACCGAGTTTTACGCCACCACTTCACGTAAAACGGGTAGTTGTGAAACTCCATATTTCATATTCATATTTGTTCTAGTATAATCGAGTTCCACTCGAAAAATGAAAAACACTAGTGAAAAACACATTTCACATTTCACATTTCACTTCGCGAAAAACGCATGTGAGCAGTGAATAACGCGTAAAACACGTGGTGTGGTTTTTCATGTGATACGGGGTGATTCGCCAAGTGTTTTCAATTCGCCACTTCATATCGCGTTTTTCACATGGAGTATTACGACGCCACTTCACGTAGTAAAACGGGTCGTCGTGAAACTCCATTATATGCTACTCTCGGATCGAAAATGGCTTACCCGGAACTGCTCGTTGGTCGCGGCGTTAACGACACCCTAGAATCTGAAATTTTGTTGATGATGATATTTAGTGACAAATTATGTAATTACCATTGATAAACCCGGGAGGAGGCGGGAACGACGGTCGAGGAGTTGCGCTTGGAGTGGTATGATGAACAGAGCCTGAAAAAACTCATTGAGTGGTACAGCAGTTTGGGAGGAAAATACGCACATGGTCAACTACATGTGTTGGTGATGATATGAAAATTGTTATTGGCTTATGTATTACACTTCTACCCGAATTTCTATATAAACTCTTCTGAGCTCAGCAGCTGATGAGGAAAGCGATTACATATATTCCTACTACTCCAACACTGATGGGAAGTAGTAGTAACAGTTTGTAATAATATTAAAATTCTGAGAGGAAATTCTTATTGGTTTCTGTATTACACTTCTACCCGAATTCATATATAAACTCTTCTGAGCTCAGCAGCTGATGAGGAAAGCGATTACATATATTCCTACTACTCCAACACTGATGGGAAGTAGTAGTAACAGTTTGTAATAATATTAAAATTCTGAGAGGAAATTCTTATTGGTTTCTGTATTACACTTCTACCCGAATTCATATATAAACTCTTCTGAGCTCAGCAGCTGATGAGGAAAGCGATTACATATATTCCTACTACTCCAACACTGATGGGAAGTAGTAGTAACAGTTTGTGATAATATTAAAATTCTGAGAGGAAATTCTTATTGGTTTCTGTATTACACTTCTACCCGAATTCATATATAAACTCTTCTGAGCTCAGCAGCTGATGAGGAAAGCGATTACATATATTCCTACTACTCCAACAACAACACTGCGCGCGACTTACTCATTAGAGAATCCTCGGTTTCCGATGCACATCTTCCTGCATACGGGTCTTCATCATCATCATCACTGCTATTGAAATCAACGGCTTCAATAGTTTCCACATGTTCGCGACTTCGCACATGTTGTGTTGCCTCCCATACGCTCGAAAAGGTTTCGAGACAAGCCGGACAGTAATAGGAATTCCCTTGAGGGTCTGAAGAAAAAAATTATCAGAAATTCACAAGTAATTATTTTACGTATTTGCAAACCGTTTTGAATCAATACCGTTTCCGTACCTGATTTGAATCTTGTTGATCGATTAAGATACGCTTGTCATTACTATTATCATTTTCGGCGATACTTCCGAGTGGATTTGTATAGATTCGATCGATATGAAGGTCAGCTCGTGAAGTTGAGACGTCCACATCGGCGACTGTGGAGGGTAGCGAGCCGACTGAACTTGGCATGAGAGTGCTTCCACTCGGTAACGGGTTCGGTGCTGCCATGCTAGGCTGGTTCACATCAACTACTAAGAGATACGCATAGTGTGTGTGTACACTTGATATGCAAATGTTCATACATGTTCATAGCTGCCATTGTTACATTGTATATGCTCGCGGGCAGCTCTGGGGCTTTTTGTGAAGGAGACTAGGTTGGGTTAAACTAACTTTATCAGTCGTAATACGCATAAGCGTCACGACTTATTTCAGTGAACAACAACAACAACATTGTATATGCGGTATAGTTTCAGATTGATTCTCATTAACCAGAATTACCGAGCGCACAGCTGACTCTAAGACTGGCCACCAAAGATGTTTAGAGGTCTATCACCCCTACATCAACAGAATTATGGATATGCTGCGACAAGTGCGACTGCTAAACTGAGGTCTATCACGAGTACAATGACAAATTCTTCAATTGCTCTCTTCGTGTCTTCGTAGGCTCATTATTTTCATTTCCCTTTTTTTCCTTCTCTCTCTCTGCCAACTCGCACTGCTCATCGGGGAGAGTGGTAGAACATGGCATGTAATAACAAACTAAGATTACACTTTGCATCATCAACACGCTTGTGGAATTGTGTTCTCGTTCATCATGGCTGCCGATGCTGATCAGCACACCGTCGGTAGAAGTGCGCGTCGTCTCAGCCAATACGACTTTGCCGTGTTGAGATACCACAATAATAGCTAAGCGCAGCATAACCTCCAGTAGTTGCGGTATCGTAGATGAATGACGATAATAATATCGTAGATGTGCGCTTTCTCTAGTAGTACATAGCCACATAGAGCATCATTACTTCGAAGTAGCTATAGTTCATTTGTCACTAACAGTAGCCATCTTGGCTCAAGTTTCCCTTCTTCTCCTCTGCCTCGCGTTACATCGCAACCCCACAGCCTTAACGTGCTTACTTAAGTAGTGAAATAGGAAGTCCTAGTTGCCTGAGGCGTTAATTAGGTTTAAGGCGCAATTTGCACCTATGAAACATGCGAGATAAACAGATGCGAGCGAGACGATAAATGAAACTGCAAGATACACGAATGGTGTGTCGTCTCAGCTCACGGTTCTTGCACTCTTGAGTGCTCTTATGATATCTCAATTCGGTTGAGTTGGTTTCGTTGAGGGAGCTCTTTTTCTCTCCCTGCTAAAGCGCTGACATTCAATTCGTTCGTGTGCAACTCGATAGAAGCAACTGTTATATATATTAATTTTGAATTTTTATTACATATTTCAGTGATATTTATAATTTTTCAGGAAAATTATTTTCTATATATGGGCTCGTCACAGTCATCCTGCTTGTCCTTGCCCCGGAAACACTCTTCCTTCAACGACGATTCGATTTCAACAAGATGTGGCAGTGGCAGCTTCGATGCGCTATCGACGAGTACTTCTCACTGTGATGATTTCCAAGCTCGTGTGAGAAGATCAGAATTGTGCGAGAGAATCGCTGGACGTGTTGGTCGAACGAGTGGTCGAGATAATGGTAGGGAAAAATTGGGAAAATTATATTTCCTAAAAATTTTCCGTGTTTATATTTTTTTTTCTTCAATACTCTTTGTGACGAAAGAATGGTATTGAAAAATTGGGTAAAATATATTTCCCTAAAATTTTCCGTGTTTATAGTTTGTGTTCTTCAATGCACTTTGTGACGAAAGAATGGTAGTAAACAATTGAGAAAAATTTCTTCCCCGCATTTTTCATGTTTATGTTTTGTACATGTTTTGTTTTCAATACATTCATGGGGAGCGCCCTTATAGAGATGATAAGTTTGAGTTTTTTCCCCTCAAAAATA